GGGTTGTCACTAATAAAAACACCCTAGTCAAACGAGAAACTATTGTTTGAAAAAAAAAATTGAAGAAAGAGTTTGATGGATCAATTTTTGAGAATTCATACAACAAATTATCAATGGTGAACAATAATTTTTTGGGCATTTTAAATTCATTTCTGCTCGTTAGACTCAACGACTCAACTGTCGTTTATTCGTACTACTTTAAATACGGACGAACCCCCGAAAATTGGAGAGTTACGACAGAATACGATCCATGTGGCACGTGGCCAGTGATTCACTGAGCACGTGTCACACGTGCTTCCGACAAAACAGGCACTTGATGAACCTCAAGTCCATGTTATTTATTTTTCATCCTTCGAATGCTCAATACCCCCATCCATTTATCCTCACTTCTTCCTCTCTGTTTGTGTCACGTCACAGTGACGATGCGGAAAATCAGTGAAAAGAGGAGGAAATAAAGAAATGTGACGTAACGAGTATTGTAGAATCGTGTGGAATGAAACGTAGGAATATGAGTTGAGACAGTGGAGACTGAGGCGCCATGGCGCCAGTCTAGTTTTCCCTTCATGACAACTGGACTGTGATGAGATTAATATAAACATCAAAATGTGTCGTATCATTCATCAATAGTTATCGTTTGCGAATATTCTATGAATTTATGATGTGAGAATGAACGTTTTGGCGTGAAAATAGCAGAACAAGTCATTTTTTCCTCTGTTTAATGCAATGTGCGATAAGAATTTTTTTTCCAGAAAAATGTCAAGACTTTTTTCTCCTGGAATTTCGCATTAAAGTAATAACTGAAGAAACATTGAGCAAATCAAATGGTTTCTAGTTTTAACTAATTAATTTATCACCTCTGAGATAAATGTCTGAGACGAAAATATCAGCAAAAATAATTTTTCATTTTCAATGAAATTACCCCAGCTAACAATGAAGATGAATACGAAATAAATGATTGCAGTAGAAAAAAGTGTATCCTCCAACCGAAAAAAATGCCTGAACATTGCGACAAAAGGGGCATAACTCCCTCGTAGATTGGCGATGATTGATTCTACATTGTTAAGGCCTTGAGGCATTTTACACGAAATAAGAGTGCGGTCTCTCGCCTCTCGATCCACTAGACTACATCCGAGCGGTCGAGAACCCCCTGAATTCATTTGCAATCGAAAAATATCCCCAAGTGAACAACCGCCATAAATAAAAACATCTAAACTCCCCGAGTGGCTGGAAATAAAAATCGAAGGACACACGAGGCTACTCACGAATCGATTAAAAACGCATTTTATAAAAAAAGAAGAGAAAAAAAATGAATCGATATGCACGTCCTTATCGTCATGGTAACGAATAGCACCTGAGTATCCAATGGGTGTGGAATTTCTCGACAAAATGAGGCAGCCACCACCGAGAATTAAAACTAAAATAATAATAAATTGTGCTAGACCGAGTGGAACGATATTGCAACGCTCAATTGCCGGACAAATAGACACAATTTATTGTGACATAAACTTGACTCAAGTGGTTTCAATACGAGCATAAAAGAACTCGATTATCATCTTCATCAATCAAATTCGTCTCGAATTTTTCGGCTCAATATTTGTTATTTGCGACAATAATTGTCAACAATTGAATCTGCCGGGGGGAATACGACTGTCTGATGTTGGAGTAGAAAAATTGTACGAGTGGGAAATAGAACACGTGAAGAGATAAAGCTTGGCGTGCCGACGATGCTTTGCTATGTTGAATGCACCCAAATGCAAATATTGAACGACGCCGCGATAGCCCCGCGACGTCAACAAGAGTCTGTACGAGAGAGGGATCGAAGTTCATCGGGACGTTGTCTCTGTGGTGTATTGTTCGCTGCTTTCACATAATGTCAATAGTTTTTCATTTTTTTGAAACCTCTTTTGTATTTACCTATTTATTATAATTGGCATGAACCATTAGTTTTTGTAGAATTTTTTGTTATTGAAATCAGAGAATCAAAAAATAATTGATAGTTTAAATTTTTAATTGACTGTGAATTGAATAATTGAAAATATGGAATTGCAAATTGAGTATTGAGCAAATATTTCGAATGATCGTCAATCCTTTGCGCTCAATTATTGATTGAGAAAAGAATTCGCAGTTTGGATAGTTAATTGATGATTAATTTAATAATTAAAAATTGGTGAGTACTATTAACAATTGACTTTTTCGAAATTTGTTTATTTAAAAATTATGCTTCTGCCGATGTCTGGTGACATATAGTCTCGATAATCCATAAAAATTGATCGGAAATATCTCCTGACCAGATGTTACGATTTGGCAGAATCAGACTTCATTCAGAAGGAAAAAAAATGTCTTGAATATGAGAAAAAAATCAGAAAATTTGCCTGTCATAATTTTTTGAAATTATTACGAATTAATGAAGGAAAATATCTGGTCAAACTCATAAACTTGAGATAAAAAATACAGAAACAAATACGAATGAAAAATTATTGATGTAAACAGCATTTTAATTTGCAATAAAAATTAGACTTTATCGTAGGTTTTTTATCGCGCACCTATGCATCAAATAACCACAGCAATTACTTTTATTTCAATACTACTATCGGTACGAGGTATCTCATGTTACTCAATTGATTCTAATGACTCTCGATAGAATGTAGACGTCAGTGCGTCAACGAAACCTGTTGCGACGTATTTGTTGAAAAAGAGAAAAACTGGAAATCACGGCAGACGATCGTGTGTGTGGATTTGTCAATGTGTTGCGCACAGGGGGGAGGTATCGCGGATAACGACGTGGTTCTGTGTTGCCAAACAGAGGGCAGAACCCACCTAACCTCAAAATAGATTTGCCCTCTTTTCTATTTCGCGCATTCAACTGGTGCATTCAATTTTCGTGTTTTCCCCTTTCGCATAAAAAATGAATTTCCACTCAATTGTGCGCATCATTCGATTGCAATACGAGAAAGATAAATAAAATGAGCTGTATGTTCCATTCAGATCAGATTTTTACATGAATTTCCCAATTTTCTGATGTCTCGAACAGCTGAGCCTCTCAAATTTCACGAATTGAGAATAATAATTGAATTTAAAATGAGCAAAATGGGACTCGAACACATCCCGATATTTTTATTCAACTTATCACGAACAGTCTCAACTGTTCGAGTCCTCACGAGACAGGTACAGATGCACCTGTTATCCTCCTATTCCCCAACCTCTACAATTGCCAACGAAAGAAGGAATTAGCGGAGAAAAAAAACAACACATGGAACTAAAGTTTTTTGACTTACCGGCAGTGGCCTTGGGGCTTTTCCCATGATGCCTTCGGCTTTTCCTCACCGCTCGGCAGCCCTTCAATAACATCTTACGTTTCTAACTCACTGATAATTGTTATTACTTGTCGATCAGGACGACACGATTACGCATTGTTATTTGTCACTGTACGGCAGCCATTTGCCTTTTACCGGGGGCACTTGCGATGCGAAGGCACACACGGCGAGCCTCACAGTCGTTGGCTTGTGGCCATTCTAAAGTGCGACTGGCGAAATTGCTCCACCACCAATTGCAGGTTATGCGTCGAGCCCCCATTGTCCCACCACTCAGCTCAGTGGAGCAGTCTCACCAGACCTACTGTAGAGCCGAGTGACGTCGCGGAGACTTGCAGAGACGTGTGCCAACGTGTGGAGAAATTTTTTTACGAATTATTTATGGGGAATTGTTTGGGATTGTCATCGGGGAAACGCACTTTATTCAGTTGACTATTTATTCGTATTTATTTATTTATTCTGCAGTTAGATGATTTTGGGAAGGCACAGAGGGCTTCGAGCACACATCACTTTCGCGGGAAAACATGATACATTTAACGAGTCTATCGCGCACGCGCGTTGTAATGCTGTGAATGCAGGTTTACAGACCATTGGTCGGTAAAACGAATATTTCGTTTCTTATTTGATGATTATGTCCCGTTTTAGCTGACCGATAGCATTTACCGCGGAATGCGGCCGTATTATTAGCAGGGAAATAATGAATTTTCTGATGAAATTAATTTAGATTATTTGGGAATCATTTGAGCTAGTCTAGAAACATGATTTTATCATTTAGGAGCTAATAGTTTTTTATAAATTAATTTGTTTTTATAATGTCATTTAAATTAGCATAAATCGATGCAAAATTATTTGAGCATTGTAAATGAATATAATTTGGAGTTTGGGAATTAAAAATTAAGGGAGGGTGGGGCAAAACGGCCCCCCTTCAATTGTCAATAACTTGTGAATGACATTGTGAAAATTCCCAGTTTCGACTTCATTTTGAAGATAATTTTTCATTCTTCAAAACGAGCTCTAACTCATCCCAATCGGATCATTGAATCGGAAAATATTGACGATTAAAGGGGGGCCGTTTTGCCCCATCCTCTCCTAAATTGGGAAAAAATTGATGAAAAAATTAATATTAATTCCCGGACTCTAATTCGACGCCAGATAAAAAGTATTTAATTCTAAGTAAACTAGTAGTTCCAAAAGTATAAAATTTCAGTCCTAAACTATCCCAAATTATTCCTAAATAATGGGAATTGGCTTTATCTCGAAATTCATTATTTACAAATAACTTTCCTATGAGATTTAGAAAAATTCTGGAACATACGTGACTGCAACAAGATTTGAGTTATCACCCATTATTTTTTTTCAGAAGTTCATTATTATGGGAAAAGTATGAGGACATTTACTTAGAATTTGTGAAATAAATCATTTTTTATTTTTCATAAAGCTGTTATAATATATATTGTGCGAATAAACCCCTCGTCATGGCAATCTAGCCACCTCACCTACCACTTATTCCCCAGATTTCCATCCATTGAGCCCAATTCCTTTTAATAAATTTTTCTCAACAAATATTTCGATCAGACAAATAGTGAAAGTCATCACAGAAGCATCAAATGTTATTAATATTCGAATAGACTACATAAGAATTCTTATATTCCGTAATGCTCTCTTGTTAGCGCAGTACTTAGGCAATTATCGAGTACAAAACGATTTATTTATTTACTTTAATATATTTATCATTCTTTCTCGAAGCTTAGTATAAACTGTATAAAGCACTGTTACATTTACCATCCACTTGAAATGCGAATTCATACGTTAACACATGTTTTTTATTCATTTTTCATTGATTACCATTTGGGATTCTGCGTCGCAGTTGAAATTCTCGTTATGATCAAGTCTCAGCGACCCTGAACATTTCGATATTGAAAGAATGAAGAGACATTTTGAGCTGACGGCTGGCAGTTGACAAGTCCAACAATTTTCGAAATGAGGAATAGAAGAAGTTGATTAGTACAAAATTGTTTTTTGCTGCATTTCGAAAATTGATCGATTAAAAATCATTCTGGAATATTTATTCGATTGGGGATCGCTCCGATCCTTTCTCTCAATGAATCCAATTCCAATGAATCTTCATTTTTCCCCCATCCACATGTTTTTTAACACATTTTTTATCCATTTTTCACTGATTACCATTTAGGATTCTGTGTCGCAGTTAAAATTCTCGTTTGATCTAGTCTCAGCGACACGGAACATTTCGATATTAAAAGAATGAAGAGACATTTTGAGCTGGTGGTTGGCAGTTGACACCAACAATTTTCGAAATGAAGAACAGAGGAAATTAATTAGTGCAAAATTGCTTTTTGCAACATTTTGAGAATCGATCGATTAAAATTCATTCCAGAACATTTTTTCGATTGGGAATCACTCCGACCCCTTCCCTGAACCACAGACATCAGCTATTTCCCCAGCACTCCAATGAATCTTTCCATTTTTTTCCATCCACACCATAAATTCAATTATCGCGTTCCAATTAATAGAATGCCCAATGGTTTTTTCACATTCTCTGCAGACCACTCAGTCGCACACTCTCTCCGCTTAAAATTGTCCCGCTATAAAAGCCAACATATCAACATCGGTTACTTGGTATTGTATTCAGTATTATGAAAATTATAATGAAACATAATTAATACAACGTAAGCATAAAATATATCTAAATGTTACATTTTTTTGCATCTTTTTTCCTCAGAGTTTTAAGTTTTTTTGTCATTTTCCTCGTATTTTCGCCTTAACTAATTAGTTTGAATTTTGGTTCATACGAAATTAGAGAAAAGTAGCACAATGCAATTTTACTTTGAGGCACGAATTTAACGGAATTACAAAATAATTGAAAAATATGCGTTAAAACTAATTCATCTTAATTTTTAAATCTCCTCTCGTTGATTATCTCATCTTATTTATTTTCTCTCACCCTCATTTCTTTTAGTAAATGCCGGAACGACGGAAAATGGCACGAAGCAATTTTATAAAGCTCACAAGTCCATCAGTATTTTACTGTAATAATGAACCCGCTGACTTCAATAATTATGACTTTTATTCAATAACTTCTCGCCGTTAAATTGAACTCCAGAAATATTTTTTCTACCTCTTGTCCCTTCGTAAATGAACCTAAATGAGTGAAAAAATATTTCCGTTATTGAGGATTAACTTTAAACTATTCTCGTGTTATTTTTTCTTCTCTCTCTCTCTCTCTTCGAGTCTACAATATCTCGTTTTGGCTGCGACGATTAATGATGGGATAATGTCAATCGTGTTAAGATTGTTGGGTTCAATTAAGCAATTGTGGCTTGATTATTTTGCTTAACCAGAGCTGGCAGTTTCATTTTCCACTGGTAAGGCACTCTCATCTGTCTTGGTCGTATCCTGGCCAGCCAGGGCTGCTTTGTTCTGTCTGACCATTTCAGCACGCCTCTCCTAAAAATTAAAATTTGATGATTAATCACCAAAAAAGTGAAATTTAACAGCAGAAAGCAATAAAAATTTGTTAAATGCTGTTTAAAATAACGGAAATGGTTAAGAAATGATATTCAAAGAATAATTAATAGCCCTGGAGTAAATTCAGCAACTGAAAATGAAAAAAAAGTTGTAAAATGAAATCTCAAGAACATTTATTTTCGAATCAAAAATATTTTCCTTGAGTATTTAAAACTGAAATAACAAATAAAATCACGAATTCTATTAAATCATGAAATCAAAATAATCCTGAAAACTCAAAACAAATTTAAAATTCACAAAAATAATAGAATTCATGATGTAATTACAAAATAATCCTGAAAATCCAAACCAAATTTTAAAAAATCATTTTAAACATGTGCATAAAAGCCATTTAAAACAATTGTGCCTAAAAAAATGAAAATTCTTCTTGAGTTCATGAATACAAAATTACATGTTGGCGAATGGCCTGAAGACGACGTTGAATCTCTCGCTGGCGATTCTCCTCAGCAATCGACACCTTCAAGTCAATCTCACGTTTCTTGGCCTCGAGCTCTCGCATGGCACTGACATCCGCCGTCTCACGTACCTTCGCTATCTTCACTGTATTCTGTTCATTCACATCCGCCCCCCATTAGTTTCCCCAATTCAAATTAACCGACAGATACGATATGATGGAATCCCCAGGGACTTACGTGATTGCGCAGTTTCTCCTTCTGTTCGCGTTCTATTGTCTCCCTGCGCTCTCGTGCCTGATCGAGCTTACCCTGGATCTGGGACTCCAACTGCTGGACACGCTCGGTCATGCCCTGACGAACCCTGGCGACTTGCTCCTCCTGAGGGGCAGAAAACATTAATAAAGAATATTCAAGTGTTTTTTATTTTTTTTAAATAATCATAAATTTAAATGAAATGAAGTCAAATGAAAATTTTAATTTATACTGACGTGCTCCTTCAGACGTTCCAACATGTGTTTCATGTTCTCATCCCTCTGTGCAGCTGCTGTTTTCAGTTTTTCCTCAACAGCAGCACGTACCTCATTTGTTTGCTGCTCCAGATTCAAACGTGTCTTCTCGACGGCCTCAAGCTGCATAATTAAACAGGCAAAGCGTTTATTAGAATTCTTGCAATTCTTTTTTTTTGTTATTGTTGATTTATGGTGGGAACTAGTTGCCTTAATCGTCTTATGTAGAAAAATTTCATTTAAAAAATTAGCGAATTAAAAAGACAATTCTATTGGACTTCTGTTGATGAATTACGCAATTTTACGTTTTTTTTCTATAGAATTGCTCGACATGACTTTTCCAAGTTTTTCCATTCAATTTTTTATTTAAAAAACTCCTTAGAAAATTTCTATAGAAAATATCTCAATGACAGCTGCATGGAAAAATTAAATTTTACGTTAAGACACTGAATGAAATAAAAAATTTAAATTCTCCGTTTAAATTGAATTCCAACGAATGTTGAAACATCCCTAACAACTCACATGCTCCTTCAACTTGTTCTTCAACTCGGCAATATGAGCCTCACGTTTCTCCTCCGAGTTATTCATCTTGGCATCGAGTGAGTCTCGAGTTGCTGCGATGAATGCAGAGTTGAGTTCATCCCTCTTGCGCGATGTCTCCTCAATTCTGCTCATCTTGGCAGCGATTGATGCCAGTTTATGTGCCTCTAATGAGAGTCTCCTCTCCTCAGCAGCTTTGAGCTTATCCTCGATGGCAGTCTGCTGAGTGGGTGGTGTCTGGGGTGGTGATGGGGCACGTTTCGAGCCCGTTGGCTCCGCCAGGATCACCTCGTAACACAGCCCCCCCTTCGACTTCTCTTGACATCGAATCTCAGTAGCTGAATACATTTTTAAAATTTTTGATTTTCGTAATTAACTTCAGTTTGAGTTTTTTCGTAATGAATTGAGTTTTTCGTTCAATTTTTTTCCTACACTTTAGCCTGAGTGGATATTAATCAAGTATTTATTACAATGAATTCAATATCTGGAGATTTTTTGATGGAATAACAAATTGATGAGATAATGAACTGTTTAATGAGAAGTTTAAGATCAAATCGTGAGATTTTATCATGAACTGAGTTTCTCGTTCAATTTTTTTCATAAACTTCAGCACCAATTCATACTAATCCAGGATTTATTACGACTAATTCAATATCTCTTAAGATTTTTCGATGAACTACCAAATTGAGAAGATACCGAAGTTTAACGAGATGTTTAACATCGAATCGTAACGTTTTATCACAAATTCATTTAAGATAACTTGAAATTCGCTTGCTCAACATCCCCATCTCCATCAGAATCTAATGAAACGAGTCACTCTGACCCTTTTTCCCGAGGAGAAAAGAGGGTGAGGAATATGAGTCAGCCGGGGAGAGATCGATCTGGCGACGGAACGATTGTCTCTAGGCGCCGGCACGTCTAGAGCCGGGTACACGCACAGACCATCGACGCCACATACTGTTCCCCGTCTCTCGTCCACCAACCCTCAGAGAATTCATACCACTGTCCCTCTCGTAATTCCTCACCCCCTCCGCACCCCCACCCTCTCCTCTACAACAGCATTATGTATAATTTAACTGGGGGTCATGCACCTCACGAGTGATGACGTGCTGAAGCATCGGACGTTAATTCAATTACCTGATTTAGGGGATGAAATTAAGTGAAAAGTTTTGACTACAAAAATCAAAACCCCTAGTTGTGTGACGTAACAGCAAAATGGGAGGGAGAATGAGTGAATTTCACTCTAGCAGATAATTGGGCTCTTCATGCCCAATTATCTCTGCAATGAATTAATTCAGAAGGAAATTCAATAAGACATTTTTTATCCGAAATTAAATTCTCCACGAAAAAGATCTTATGACTTTTCCCCCTAAAATCCGTCGTTATGAAGATAAATGAACAATTGCGAAAGTTGAAATTGAAGAGATGTTCATTATTCAATTCAGTACTCACTTATGAATTTCACTTTCTTCGGCTGTTTCGTTCGTGGCTTTCCCTTGCCACTGGGTTTCTTCATGGGCACATTACCCCTCCTCTGTCCAGCTTTTATCGAGCAGAATAAAAAAGGTATCGACATGAGTGGATAAGTCAACAGAGTGAGAATAAATTCCCTATGAATGACTGAGGATCGATCAACCCCTAGGATTTTCCCACCGACACGTCAAGAGTCAGCGGTGTAACATTCGTGGAGCCATCTTGGGCCGCACCCTGATCCCCTCGTGCCGGTTATCAAACACGTGGATTCAAAATCCATTGCCAAGTGGTTTTGTCGTTTCTTTCAAGGTCCAACCGGTGTAATTCTCACACCCTCGCTTGGCTTTTCAACTTTGCATAAATTTATCGAGCCAGTGGGGGGTGAATTCCGTCACGTGATATTGCAGAGATATTTCTAAGCTAATTTATGCAATGCGGGAGGATAATTTTTAGCGTAATTACGGGGTAATTTGGCACGATCTATTTTCAATTCTGAATAATTAATTTTTGCTGCTATTTGGGTCGAGAAAATCTAGTTTTCAATTTTATAACATAAAAAAATTGATAATTTTTAAATAAAAATCCACTATTTGAGGAAGTGGTGATACGAGTAAAATCTATTGAATTTTTCATTTTAAAAAAATTGAATTTTAAAAAGATATTAAAATTTTCAATGAGGAATTTTTTTTCATTTGTCCTAAAAAAAGTTTTCATGAAATTCCGCTATCTTTTTTTAATTATTAAAAAAAAAGGATTAAGAAAGCGAATAAATTCCTTTCGTCCACTGTCTACTATTAAAAAAAATTAGTTTTAAGAATTACGTCAATCACATTCTTAAAAATTGCAGAAAGCTGACTGAAAAACAAGCAACCACTCATCGTAAAATTGATCGAAATGCAGGTGGGCCTGAACTACCGTATGTACGTGTATCGATCAGGGGTGAGAGTTGCCGGGTACTGCGGGTAAAAATATGGTCGCGTGTAAACGGCCCTGGCATTTGCCCGAAGGACAGTATTTTCGTGCAAAATGTCCCTTAAAAATACCACAAACTCCCGAAATACTATAATCCAATTATTAACCCGCCCCCACCCCACGGAGTCCACGGTAACTTCCGAAATCTCTAGAAATTGAATAAAAGTCGTTGTTGACCCCCTCGGAACCTCAACCAAATGCTCCCAATAATTTTCTTTTATTGATATTTTCTAAAAGAAAAAAATTAGTGAAAAAAATTTCGTTCGTTTTTCTTTCTCATCTATGATAACATTATTAATCAATGATTGATCTTTGAAATTCACCTCAATTCCTGACTTAACGATCCTGATAATTACCCCTCCCCCTCATAAACCCGATGAGCAACCAGTAAACCGTAAAAACCGTCTGATCACGAATTCCCACCCCTTGAACTCACCTACGACACTCAGAGGTGCTTTGCAGCTGTGACAGAAGCACTGCAACACGGATTCACGTACAAGATCGATCAGCATTTTTACCGGATTATCAACAGCCCCTGAAGCCCTCCGGAAGTGGAAAAAAATGAAAAGAAACTAAAATAGTTCAAAAAAAATTGCGATTTTGTAACTGAGAAATTTTGTCCCGGAAGTTAATGTGGGGTTGACGGGTAGAGCGTGAAGAAACTGTTGTTCCTGGGGCGGTGGCTAGAGGGTGACTGATCCAACGGTTGCGCCACGACGCCGGGCGTCGCTCAATACCCACCCCCTCCTCACCCCCGGACGTTATACAACTACGTGCTGACTACCCCAAGTCCCATCCTCTGAGGATTTTTTTCCAGGGCCTGAGCCGGACACGTGTGCACACAGAATCCAGTGTGAATTTTTTATTGAAGAGAAAAAAAGATGGATTGATAATTGGGAGGTTGTTTTGGTGATTCGAGGGAAACAAAATGCAGGGAAAAATACCCGAGGGATAATGTTTGATTAGAACTAGTGGGAAATCGTTAATTAATATTCAATGAAAAATTAATTTATCCATTAATATGCATCCGAAAGATTTAGATATAGAGTACAGAAAAAAATAGTGAATTCGCTTGAAAAATCGGTGGGAATTCTACTGGATTTTCTATTAGTTTTTGGCCGATTCTATTGAAAAATTCTGCAGATTATTTACGGTTTTTTTTTCAATAGAAATTGAAGAAAAATAGAGTCGAAAGAACTTGGGAAATTCATTCAATAGAAGAAGTTGTGTAGAAAGATGAAATTCCACTAATTGTTTCTATAAAATAATTTCTACTGGACATTTTTTATTTAAAAAAATTCAGTGAGGATGCGAATGGGCCAAAAACTAATGGAATTATCAGTATAAATGCATTAAAATTTTCTATGAAATGTTTTGGTGCCTGAATTAACTCACCCGTCACCTACACTGTCTGTTGCTACCTGAACCCCCGAATCGTCTCCCGCAACCGCAGGTGCACCCTTCCCAAAAAACAACGGATCATGAATAGCTAACGTGAGCTAAAATGTCGACACAACACCTCCTGCTAATCCTGAGGCTTCATTGGCCTCTGGGATTACCTCTTATCCCTTGCAGTATCTTGGGGGAAATTATACCCGCAGAAATCACCGCCTCGAATTACACTCGGGGAGGATTTATTTATTTGAGAGGGGATTGGATGGCTTCAAATCACTCCTCCATTGATTTTTCGTGGATAAAACATTCTCGATTCAAGAATTTCAGGAATTAAATAATAAATAAAAAAAGTTCTGACGTGAAATAACAAAGTCACGAATAAATAAATATAAATAAATATTTGAATGGATTGTGGGGCATGTCACAATGTCAAATAGAATTTGTTCTTCAATCGGAACTATCTATTCTGAGATTAAAAACTCCCTCGAATATTCTCGATTGAAGAATTTCAGACGCTGAGAAAATCCTCATTCAATATCGGAATAAATAAAAAATAATTTGCCCATCAATGTTGATCGAAAATCCATGGAAGGCATTTTAACAAAAAACGTGACTGCTATTTATCAATAATACCACTAATTATGAAGTATATTGTCAATATTAACGACCGAATGGCCGAAAGAAAGCACCTTACGACGAATTCCTCAAATTGTCGAGCTGTGGAATAAATTTACTCAAAACATAAATTCATTCTGGTGAACAAAATAACAAAAGCTCGATTTGTTTCCTCCCATCATAAATATTATGAACAATCTATTCTTTCATTAAGAATTCCCTCGATCCGAGAAAATCTTATGCCCTTGTTCTCAAATATTCTCCATTCCGGGCATGAATAAACTGTGGGCTTCCCATTAATAAAATATCGGTCTTGCCGACGACAATGGTCTCCTGAAACGGATTGTGGGGCACGTCGCAGTTTTAAATGGACTGAAACCCCCTCGAGTATAAACTGGAGCAAATTGAAATGGTATGACAAAAGTGACAGCGGATAATTCTGAATGCGAATTTCCGTTTCCACTGAAATATGTGAAACTCGATGGTTAAAAGTGGCTTTGAATCCTTTTTACTCTTTCAAAAGGAATCTTGCTCCGGGAATAAATAGAATTTCTCTGGTTTCACCCCATTAACCAACAGCTTTATTCAGTTCTCGTCAATTCCTTTGCTCATTCAAATGGTTTATTTATAATAGAAATCGGTGAATAATTCAAGGAGGCTCGCTCCTTCGGGGGACGCGCAGTGAACTAGTTCCTCGCTCTGACATTGTTTATTATCGTAGTCGCTGTCAATTAATCATACTGGGTGGAGTATATTCTGTGCTGGAGGATTTCTCCCGAGTGAAACCTACAGCGTCTCCGGGCGACATTGATACACCCATTCCTACGGATATGGTTTGACGAGAATCAAGTTACCCCACGCACCAGCGCTAGCCCTCGGAGAACCGAGTCATGAACATGAATTTAAGTCATGTAGACCATGGAGATATTGTATGTGGTGAGAAAATTGTGGAGTTATTGACTTCCAGTTGAGGGGGATCGTCCGAGACGTATGAGAGGAGAAAATATTGTTCCGGTGGGAATATGCTGGGGGGAGGGCTGGTTAATTTTTTAATTCGTCAGTGGAGAATATTTCAGGCTGTCAATTGAAAAATTTAATATTCTTTCGATTTATTTTTAATTTAGATGTTAAAATCTCTGAGTTCTTTGAATATGGTAATTCTTTGGTTCTAATTGCAGAATTGAGGAATTTTCATAGTCTTGAATTAATATTTCTGGAATTATTCGTTTGAGAAGTGAAGATTTTCTCCTGATTTTTAATTCGAAGATTTTTTATTTAAGAATATTTAATATTCATTTGCCAGTGTGAAAGGAGAAAATATTCTTCAAGTGAGAATGTGTTAAAGGGATTACTGGTAAATTTTTTAATTCGTGAGGGGAGAATATTTTAAGCTGTCAATTAAAAAATTAAATACTCTTTCGTTTTATTTTTAATTTTGATGTTGAAATCACCTCTGAAGTATTTGAGTGTGGTAATTCTTTGGTTCTAATTGCAGAATTCAAGAATTTTCATATTGTTGAATTAATATTTTTGGAATTTTTCGTTTGAGAAGAGTTGAAGATTTTCTTCTGATTTTAATCCAAATTATTCCAAGGAAAATTATTCCAAAAATACATTTGAGGATCGATCGACGGGGGATTTTATCGGGAAAAAAATTCACGGTGAGAACCACTGACTTTGGCGACTGCAGTGGAGGAGAGGACCCTGCAGTTGCCACCTCAATGTTCACTATCTGGTTTATATGTGCGGGATACTTGGACCTCGAGGACCGAGAGGGCTATGACCCCTTGATCCTTCTTATGTCGTGGTTCAGTACATAAAACAGCGTGACATTTTTTCTGTCCGACCAAAAGAAGCCTCAACATCTTCATTGAAAAAAAAATCGACGCCTCAAATTTTTTCTAATGGATTTGAAACTGATTTTTCCCCTCGGGAATAAGAAATTTTTACATTCTCAATGTTCATTTGAAGAATTAAAGATTCTCTTCTTATTTCTAATTCAAATATTCTTGAGTGAAGAATCGTGAAATTTGTCAATTAAAATTGAAAAACTGAATATCATTTTCTTTCATTCTTAATTTAGATGTTGAATTTTCCCTTTATTATTTAAATACGACAATTCTTTGCTTTTTAATTGCAGCATTCAAGAGTTTTCGTATCGTTGAATCAAGAGTTTTGGAGTTCTTTAGCAAAATCGATTCAGACTCGATTAAAAATCATGAAAATTGCTCCAGCTCCACGAAAAAATTAATCCAGAGTCAATTGTATTGTATATTATTATTGACATCTCTTAAAACAATAATAATCCCAAAGATGATTATTCAATGTAAACTGCCCATTTTGAATCCTTTCATCAGCCTCCAACCACCGGATGTAAGGGAGAATCGAAAGAGAGGGCACGTCAGCCCCAATAAAAAAACCGAAGAGGGAAATTTGTTTTAGTCAATGAACCTTAATACTTCCGGCAATGCACGAATTTAAATGTCGAGGATCGACATGGCACACCTTCCCATTGTGTCGAGCATCGACCCATCGATTTTATAATTTTTCTCGTGAATTAACTCCCCAGTTCACCCAAAAAAAATTAATCCCCACTCTAAAAAACGCTGTTATCTGACAAAAAAACTAATTTCTGCCCAAAATATTCTGCTTCTCTTCCCGAATGTCGAAAAAATATTCAAAAAATTGAACAAACAACTCAGGTGTCGATTTATGAATAAAAAAATTGCTTTTTAAAATTACGGAATTATTAAAATATCTTCACTCACATTCATTAATAACAGGCGTCTCCGCAGTGGTTGCCATCTTCTCGACCCTCTCCTGCAAAAACACGTCAAACATTGAAAAAAAAAAAAGAATTGAATGCCAGAAAACAAAGACAGACGACTAACCGTTCGATTCCAAACCCAGAATCGATGGAAACGTTTGAACAAAGGGGGAGCGAAGAAAAATCAACAATCCAATCTGTAAGTTAACAAGAGCACTGGAGAGTCATTGACTCATCGATATCGGCCTCAAGGTCTCCGCGGAAATAATAAATAGAGATAAAAATCGCGTTGTTCATCAAAAATAGTCTTTATCCTGCTTCTTGCCTTTATGGGAATGGGAATTGACTGCTGGAGCGGGCCAGGTGCACTCGCCCCTTTGTTAGGACGAACGAGAGAGAGAGGGAGAGAGACGTTACACGAGAGGAAGCAACACTGTGCGTTCTTGTATTTATTCGGTACCTTGAGATTTTCATCAATACGAAATCACAGGCTGTTGGATTTTATCGAAGGAAGATTGGAGAACATTCTGGAGAGCTTTTCGATTTTTTTTTTGGGATAAAGAAAATTATTTTGAGTATCGTGGGCATGAATGAGAGAGAGAGAAGGCATGAAACATTGTACTTTTGATTTTTTGTGCCTCTGGGATATTTATTAATGAAAAAAATTGGAACTGTTAAAATTAATTAAATTTTTCTGCAAAGATATTGGAACAAACATTGATGTCAATCTTGATAAATAAATTGAATGAGACACCAATAAAATAAAAAAATTAAATGAGAGAAAATATAAAGCAGAGGTTTTTTTCATGTCTCTGGGATGTTTCTCAAAAATAAAAAATCACAGGCTGTTGGAATTGACTGAAGAAAGATTAAAGAACACTCTGGAGAGCTTTTCGATTATTTTTTAGGGATAAGGAAAATTATTTTGAATTTTGTGGGCATGAATGAGAGAGAGAGAGCACGAAACATGGTATTTTTTATTTTTTTATGCCTCTGGGATATTTATTAATGAAAAAAATGGAGTTGTTGAAATTTGTTTTTTCTCTCTCGGTGAATAAAAAAATAAGAATATGAATGTTGCATGACAAAGAGAGAAAACAGAAAGCACTGTATTTTTTTATGTCTGAGGTATTTCTCAAGAATAAAAAACTAGCTGTTGGAATTTATTGTAGATAAATTGGAAAATATTCTGAAGAACATTTCGACATTTTTTAGGAATAAAAAAAATTAATGGGCGTATTGGATGCAAGAACGAGAGAGAGAGGACACGAAAATTAGTATTCTTGATATTTGTTTATGCTTCTGGGATACTTATTAACGAAAAAAAAATTGGAGTTGTTAAAAAATCATTTGAGAACTATATTTTCCCCTTTTAATAAATGAAAAAAATTAAAATATTCAATAAAAAAGAGAGAAACCAGGAGGCACTGTATTTTTTTCATGTTTTTGAGATATTTCTTAACAATGAAAAATCTCTAGTTGTCGAAATCCACGAGAAATACGTTTGGAAAACCTTCTGGAGAATATTCAGAGAATATTCAGACGAATAAAAAAGTTAAAATGAATGTCCGAGCATGAAAGGGGGAGAATCCGATGCGTTTGTGTTCACAACAGGGGTTTTCAGTCGTTTTACATACCTGAACTAGCAAAAATAATAATCACGGAATGGGGAATGCACAAGAGCCACTGAGATTATCCAATTAATCAAGAGTATTTAGTCTCTTCGATGGACTGATATTTTTAAACGAATAATTCCACAAAATGACGCGGACTGTCTGGACCTCCGGACGTGTTTGCTGACGGCTTTTATTCTGGCGTCGGTAAACCAAGCGAGAAAAACATGCACACGGAACAGTACAGCCGATTGGACTTCAAGTGTGGGGGAGCGGGAAGCCACCGGATTGGCTAGGAGGAACGACTGCTGAAGCGCGATTGGCGCATTTTGAATTTTTTAAACGTTAAAACGCTAATGAGGTCTAGGCGTGTTTCGTCGTGTTTAGATGGATTTTTTTCACTGCGTCTAGGTCTTTATTATCTCCAAATGGGATTATCATTCGAGAGAAATTTATTTTGGTGGTAAAGTGGAAAATAATCATAAGTTGATCTTTTTGTTGAAGTTTATCACGAAAATTATTGGGTTTAAGATAAAATGTTGAAGAGTTTTTCTGTGGAGAATTGAATTTTCAATGAAAATAAAATAGGGGAGGGCGGGGTAAAATGGACACTAGACTTTTTTTTCAATTACTCATAACTCAGGAACAAATTTATCAATTGAGCTCAGATTAGGCTCATTACAAAGGGAAAGAATTGTTCTTTACATAAAAAAAAATTATTAAACTTCATCAACATTTTAACCTGTTATTTAAATAGATTTTTTCCAGTGCGTCCAGCTCTTTATTATCTCCAAATAGGATTGTCATTGGAAAGTAATTTATTTTGATGGTGAAGTGGAAAATAATCATAAGTTGATTTTTTTAATTGAAGTTTATCACGAAAGTTATTGTGTTTAAGGTAAAATCTCGAAGAATTTTTTTCCTAAAGAAGTAAATGTTCAATAAAAAATCTCCACATAAAAAAATTCTAATAGTTCTTGTGATTTAATCAATGAAGAATCAACTCATCAAGATTTTTCTCCTGATTTCCAATAAATAATATCAGGATTTTGAAAATTAATTTTTTCATGGAATAAAAAAATAAAATAAAAATTAAATTAATAAAAATTTGTTCTGTAAATATTAATATGCAGTGCGCAGTGTACAGAACAAAAGCCGTTGGAACGAATTCCCCATTGGTGATTCATATTAACAGAACAGACTCTGAGAAAATTGTGTGGGACGATGTAATGTCTGTCTCTGTGTACTAAATAGAAAAAAAGGAGCAGGAGGCAGAGGAGGAATAAAAAAAGTGTGCCAAATATGGAGACACTGGAGACAACTGGTTTCCCCTGGGGTCTCGAAGTCCCCATGTGGATGCATCAAAGTACGTTAATCAATCAAAAGTATTGTTTATTGCTTCATTATCTTCGCTGATTAATTCCCATAAATAAAAACCATTGCTAATGGGATTTCATCAGAAATACACGATTTCACCTACAACTAACTATTTCATATTCTCAAAAAGTAATTTCACAAACACATTATCATCAAAATTATTTCCAAAAATTACAAAGACGAATTTGTGAGAGAAATTGCAAATTTTGATTTCAGTTTATTGAAAATATCTTAGAATCCAGACTAGATAGCGGAATTGTTGTGAATACCTTTTTTCTAGAGCAAATTAAGATCTACAAAAAAGATATCAACAAAAATTTTCATATTTCCACTAGATTTTGCGATATTTATGAAAAACCGAAAATGGGTTATTTCGTTTTCTTCTCTTTGCTACTGAATTAATGTCCTGAAACCCGAGCTAGATGTCGCATTCGCGCAATCAACACATCCACTTCCGATTGGTCCATCAGCTGATCTCCCACGAGTGTTGAGGCAAGAGCAACATAGCCTAACATTTTCATTGAAAAGAGACTTATCTCGCTCGGCTCTCCGATTGAATACCCCTAATTGAGTTAAAGGGGTTGCGAACGGTGGCCAGAAGACTCTCAAAAGAACCCCCGTGACCTTCCCCTGAGTGACGACGGGGGGAATTCATAACGCGAGTGACACCAGGTGCTCGGGGAAAATTGGAGCAGAATAAAGATCGAAATTCGGTGGAAAACCAGGGAAATAGGGAGACTGCCCCGCGATGGCCATCAACAATGAGCCCACGTCGGGTTCCTTGCGAAATAGATCAGTGAAAAAGGGGGACAGAGGTGTTGCAAAGAGCACGAGTGGCGGGGAATTGAGTGAGGGGCATCAATTGCGCGCTGAGACCGACAGTTTTCCGAATATCAATGAGAGGCCTGTTGATGACATCTCCATTGAATTTTTTTACACTCCTCATACTATTACACTTCTTCTTATTTCCATTGGTGCTGTTATTTATTTCGCATTCGTGAGGTGAGTCAGGATCATTGATTAGTCAATTACCTGAGGTGATGTGTGCAGGAAAAATGTTGGAGTTGAACGCTTTTGTTGAGGATTTGAGAAATGGGAATGGGGGTTGGGGGATGTTTTGGGTGATGAAACAGGAAGAATTGATTTCATTTGGAAATTAATGCTTTGGACATGTTTATTGAAAATTAAATTTTTCGGAAAGAAAGGCTCTTATAGAAAACTTGAAGGTCAGTTTTCTAGACACATTCTAAGAAATAAAGAACACAGCTAAATTTTATTATAGCTCTCATTTCGTCTTTTAAAAAGGTTTTTGCAAAAAATTTGACAATCTTCCTTTGATGATTCACAGATTTTCATAAAAAAACTCTCTCAATAAAATCGTTAAGTCATCATAGCAATTTTAATTAAAGATCCCTTTTCAAAAAATTTCAAAATATCAAAGAGATCCAAATTTTTTTAACAATAATATTTTAGAGCAAAAATTGAAGACTTTGTAAAATGAAATACTTCAAATTATTAAAAGAAAATTAAATACTTTTTTCTACATCCAATTTTCTCAAGAAAATTCTTGATCACCTTCAAATTGAGGAGAATTTATGAAAAAATGTGAAATTTATGTTGTTTTTCACCATTAAAAATTAATCTTCATCGTTCCCCTGGAGTTCTCCCATTAAATATTCTGTTTCATCATCTCCAGAGACGTTACAGACGAGAACGACAACATCTGGGCAGGAATCTACTGCGTAATCTTCTTCTTCCTGATAATATCAGTATTAACATTTCCGAATGGTCCCTTCACACGTCCCCACCCAGCAGTCTGGAGGATAGTCTTCGGCTGCAGTGTCCTCTACCTCATGATGCTGCTCTTCATGCTCTTCCAGAGTTACGAAACTGTGCGAAAAATTCTGGTGTGGGTGGATCCGAAATTATCGGCATTTCACATAGACATGGACAAGGAGTACGGGGTCAACTGTTCTGACATAACTGTGGAGAAGATCTGGAACCACATGGACATATTCGCTGTCGCTCATTTCCTCGGGTGGACGTTCAAGGCTGTGTTGATTAGGCACCTGGGTCTGCTGTGGGCCACCAGCATCATGTGGGAACTCACGGAAATGGCTTTTGCACATTTACTACCGAATTTCATTGAGTGCTGGTGGGATGCTGTCGTTCTGGATGTTCTTGTCTGCAATGCTCTTGGTAATTTATCTAACATTTCAACAAATTAATTATTTGATGCACTAATTAATGGATAAGACTGAAAAGAGACTCTTCCTTGATTAATAGAACAGAAAAACATGATGATTGAAATTTTTTAATCTTTATTAATTGCAAATTCGTCTAGTAAACGAGTGATTTTTGCATAAGATGTTGAGATATTTTTGCAGAGAATTAAATTTCCAACAAAAAAGGTCTCCATATTTTTCTTTGTAACTCCTTGTCATCGAGGTAGCTTAATATTCAACAAAATACAACAAATCTACTTTTTAATTTTTTTGTTTTATTTTTTTCTTGGCAATGTCTGGCATCATCCTGCTAATTTATCAAATATTTTAGTTTGAAGCTACTTGTTATCAAAGCAGTTTAATATTTAACAAACTGCAAAAAATGGAATTGTTTATATTCATTGAATCACTTGACAATTGATTAAATTATTTGTACAGGGATCTGGGTGGGTTTAAAAATCTGCTCGATCCTCGAGATGCGTGAGTACAAGTGGGTCAGTATAAGGGACATCTCGAGTACAACTGGAAAGTTAAAACGTGCTGTACTACAATTCACACCGGCAAGCTGGACATCTACCAGATGGCTCGATCCAACATGCACGTATATGCGTTTTGTTGCATTGTGCCAGCTAGTTATTTTCTGGCAGGTCTCTGAGTTGAACACGTTTTTTCTTAAACACGTTTATGAATTCCCACCGTCACATCCATTCGTCATCTCCAGATTATTTCTCGTTGGTGTTATCGTAGCGCCTTCAGTCAGGTAATTCGTTTGACATTAATTATTTCATTGTTGGACCTCAGAGCTGGTGATTATTCCCCCAAAAACAATACAAAAAACATTTTTTTATTATCCCAAGTGCATTTTCCTCAGAACTGACGCATTTTTGTTTTTCATAACATGAATAAAATGACTTTTTACGTGTTCATTTCATTAAATCATTTCCTCGTTTGTTTACAGATGTTTTTGATGAATTATTCAGTTGAAATAATGAGTAATAAATAATGTTTTTGGAACTTTTAGTAGATTTCCCAGCTCTGTTGAAATCGCTTCAATGTTGCTCTAGTATTGCTAGTTTATTTTGAAATATTCGTTGCCTGAAAATGATTTATCCACTTGCAGACAATATTATATGTACGTCACAGACCCTACATGCAGTCGAGTTGGTACCCAGTGTTGGGTCTATGGTGCAATAATGGTCACTGAGGCGCTACTCTGCATTAGGCATGGTGCTGAGCTCTTCGAGAGAACTCAGGCTGTCAACATCATCGTTTGGCTGCTCTGTCAGTCTTTAATATCAGTCCTGTGTGTCTACGGTTGCGTTCTCTGGCATAAATACTTCGAGGTATCCACTCTAACCAGCTTGGTTTGTTTTAACACGTCAATAACTGGTGATAAAACGTGAACTCAACGGTTACTTCCATTGGAATACAGTTTTTATCGGTGTTTTATGGGATTTTTTGGGTTAATTTTGACATTTTGTTGAGTTTAGTTTGATATCAGTTTGATTTAATTTTGAATTTTGTGGTGAAGTGATGAAATTTGATTGATTCATTTCACTTTTAGGTTGTTTTTGATAAATATCTCTTTGATTCATGGATGTTCTTCTCAAACTGAGTGGTTTTAGTTATTTTAATTGTTTTGTTGATTTTTTAATGATTTGTCTGGAGAATATCTTGAAATCAAAATTTATAGAAAATCGTAAGTCAATGAAAAATGATTTGGAGAATGTTAATTGTTAATATTAATATGGAAATAATTAATATAATACAAAAAATAGAGATATCTATCAAAAAAGCCTGAAGTCAAGTTGAATTATCCGATTTAACACTTCACTGTTGAATTATTTTAATTTTTTTTTTGTGTAACTAACTTTTTTTTTTGCTCTGTGCATGCAAATATTTCATTTCCAGACGGAAAAGCAAAACCCGCCGACCCAACAGGACAAGTGTCGCGTCGAAACAGCTACATGTGATGGTATGTTTCAGTAATCCCATTGGAAAATAATTATCGTTAACATTGTATTTAAAACTGAAGCTTTATTGATCACAAGCCCCAGTGATAGAAGTGCACTCGAGGTTTTCTTGAAGTTTAATAACTCAAGATCCTACTTGACAGTTTTGAGTGTTGAATCTGGGACGACAGCATCGATTTTCATAATTTTAAAGTAGAATGAACGCCCCTATTTTTAAAGATTAAAATCTCAATTAATTTTTGAATAGAGGTTAATGGGAACAGAAGCATTCAAGTGAAATTTGTCGTTAATCGACAGTCTAGGATTATCGATAATAATTTATTTAAAAATTCCAAATAACAGAGTCTTATAAGAAAATTGCCTTTTCACTGTTAAGAACATTAAAATGTAGAAAAAAATCAAAAACAAAATTCTACGTTCAATGTGAAAAGAAAACAAAATAATTCGATGGAATAATTTTTTACACTCATCACTAATTAATGATGAATAATTGGTTTTGGGGGTTGTACATTTGTTTCTCCTTGTTACACTTCTCGATTCACCTGTTCTATGTTCATATTACTTCAACAGGACAAAAATGATCAGTAATCGATACTTCGTGCCCACTTCAAAGTGTCCACTCGACACTCTCTTTAACAAACGAGACATTTAAAATTCTAGGACAATTGGATATCGTTGAAGACAGCTCTGTGGAGGCTTCTGACTCAGGAAAAAAGGAACTGTAATCGCATTGGGCTGTCAAACTCATCAGAACATTCTAGTCATGCCACCTGATCAATGACATACCTCCAAAGTTCGTAAAGCACCTGACGAAATGCCATAAAGCCACAATGGAGAGAGTAAAAAATAAAACCGCTGTGAAACATGAATTAGGAATAGGTTCCCAGGCTGTAGGTCTTCGGCGTCAGTCATCCCTTCGAGAAGTACTTCTTTGAGAACATGAAACTATCGAGCTGCAGGAACGGGGACCTCGAGGTATGGAAATACTCCGCAGGTGAATGCTGGCAGCAGTTGAGAGCCTTCTGCACACTTGAAGACCTCACCAATCCTTCGGTTGCTCATCGCAGCTGCATAAACTCGCAGTCTACCTGGCAACTGGGGATTCTCGTGCAACGAGATGGACGAGGCAGTGAGTGGTGCCTTTGTACAGTGCGTCTGTAAATTAATTGATCTATAGAATTCAAAGATTATAAAATTATTGAGGGAATTCTTTGATGAGGAATTTGCATGAATTTCTTCAATTTTTTTGTGAAACAATTTTTAGTGCTTGATGATTCGTTTTCAATCTCATAATTATTAATTCATGATTTTTTAATATAAAAAATTATTAATTTTTACTATCAGTAAATAACAGAATGTATAAATGAGGGCATGAGGAAGAACAAATTCATGCAAGTTTCCTATTGAATTCAGAGATTGATTTTTGCACAATTTTAACGACAAACAAAGAAAAAAATGTGAAAATTGTGCAAAACGACGAATGATTGAATTACAAGAATTAGTTTTAAGGAGATATTTTGACGAGGGAATCACCTGTGCGTATGCGATGTAGAATAGTTGATCGATGTTGAAGTCTAGCCAATGGGTGGGTTTTGCTTGAGTCAGCCCCAGCCTGTCCAAAGTATCGTGAGCCAGTCTCACTCCCGCAGCGTCAGACAGTCTCTCATTTAACGTGTGCGGAGGGATCTACTCGAGAAAGCAATTAGTTTATTTTATTCTCTGAAGTATCAGGTCAAAGGAGCGAAAAATGCAGATCATTGAGTTGACAAAAAAAAAGACAAGCACCAAAGTTTTTCGAAGGGTCATTTAAGTAAATAATAAATCAACTTTTACCCTCAATTTCACGAGCTGATCAGACCGAGGAATTGTCATTTCAGTTGAATACTGAAAGATCTCATCCCTCTGGCAATTGATATAGTTCTCATAATTTATCATAGTGAAATTGTAGTCATGCAGAATAGGGAAGCCAGAGCCTCGGGTCCCATTCCAATACTGAATACCTAAACCAAAAGAATAACCGAATCATCAACGATATAAATGTTACAGAGACGCTCAACGATTCATTGTACATACATTCTCGTATGTATTATTTCATTTTTCATATGATTTTCATTGTTTTTTTTCGACAACATTTACGTCTAATTAGAGTACTTGGGGTATCTCTAGGGATAACAGTCATTAGTTTTTAATGATATTTTACCGTTGACATCGAAATAACTTGTTATCTCGTGCGCTAGGAGATTACCGACACTCGACAGCGTTGCATAGTCGTACTTTTCGTTTTTCCTGGTGAATTTTAATGATTCTAGGGCACCTAGGGGGACTAGAATTACGTTGAGGGCGTGGAGAGATCGTGGGAGGGGTTGAAATGCCGTTGCAAAGTGTCTCCAACTGTAAATTTCATTGTTTTTTTTTATTGTTGCGAGGTGAAGTCGTAAAACGATATGAATTTAATTCATTTTGCCTTCAGTTTTTGACGAATATTTGGAATGTCAGGGGGTCGGAACAGTTTTCAGGCATTTTTCCTCGTTTTTTATTTCATTTTAACCTGTGGATCTGAATAAAATTGTTGCCGTCTTCTCCAGTTCCAAGATTTTTTCCAAAAACTGAAGTTCAAAGTGAATCATTCATTCCGTTTTTCAATTTCATCTTGATTTAGCTGTTTAGAATGCTTTTGCTTCATTGTGAGTCGATTAAACAATTGCTATTACTTACAGTATTTCAGGAGTGTTAGGGTTTTTATGTAGAATCTTGTAAGCACTATATTTGGTCATATGAATTATCTCGCGCTGCGCCAAAAGATTTTCCGTAAATTTATGATCCAGACCTGTTGTTTTTTCGAAATAGGAAATCTCGGGGATGGATATTTGAATAGCATCCAACTTCTGCATTAAATAGTCTCGGCCCTCAGGCGAGACCCAGTGAATTTCGTCAAATTTCGACTTCAGTGTTTGCTTCAGTTCACTAAAAATATCTGAAACCTATTCAGTCAATTAAATGACGCGTCCAATGACGTTTTTATTCAGTTTTGTTTACCTTCAATTTGATAGTATTTAATTCATCTTCAGTGAATGACGACATGTAGAGATTAGATGCATCATTTGGTAGAACACTGGTGGCGAGTTTTAGGCACTTGCTCTCCCAATCTTTTGAGAACTCTAGTTGTCTCACCTTTGAAAATAGAAATTATGAGGTTGTGAAGTGTTTTAAGGGGAAATTTCAAGACAATTTTCTCTGTTAAGAATTAAATTTCAGAGAAATAATTTCTTGTCACATTTTTTCGTTGTCTAGATAATTAAATATTAAAAATTGAATTCTTCGGTGCTGTTACGTTTCACCACTTCAATAATTAAAAGTATAAAATGAAACTTGTTAAATTAAACTTGCCCTCCAAATCTCTTGAAAAATCTGGTTTAATTATCTTTCAAAGTCGAAATTGATTTTGTCAGCTGAGAAGTGAAGAATCGTAACGAAAAAAATGATTTTAAGGGGAAATTTCAAAAGAATTTTGTTTTTAGAGAATTAAATTTCAAACAAATAGTTATCCCTGCAATTTTTCCTGTTAAAAGTTGAATTATTCGGTCCTGTTACGCTTCACCACTTCAAGAGTTAAAAAGTTAAAATAGAAGTTTGTTAATTAGTTCTCAAGTCAATGATCTACCCAGTTATAGATATCGCCACCAAAAATCCCGACAATGGCTTTACACAGCTGTGAAAAATTATGTAATCCATAGTCATCGATTCTCCTCAGTGCACGAAACAAATGATCTTTGAAGTAAACTTGTAGCTTGGTGTCGTGGCTCACGTCTACTTCAGTTAATCCCCGCAACAATAGCGGCCACTTTAGCTGTTTAAGTAGAAAATCAAACTAGTTAGAGTCCAGTGGATGATAATTAATTGTGATATGATTTTTTGTTTTCTATTTTTTAATGAAAAGACAAAACAGAGATAAGACTCACTAATGTAGATTGTTTCTCGAGATCGCTGAGTGTTAATACAGTGTAATTTTTCGATCTGTATGCTTCCCGAATTTCATTCTCCGATGGAAAATCCTAGAATTGACAAAGAAATTGTAGAATTTTTTTTTTCATTGAAAATAAATTTATTTGATAATCTTTTTTTTGTTACTGATAAGAGCGGTTTGATGAAGTCGAGAGGAAGCTCTCCGTTGAATAATTCAGTTAAGGAATCCAACAGCTCGTTTGTATTATTCTGTACAAAGAAAGAAAATTAAATATGAAATTGAGACAAAAGTCAGCCAAATGATTGATTAATTGTGGCAGCTTACCCTGCATAGTTTATAATTCTCATACATTTCATCGAGATCAACAGACATTTCCTCGTTATCTCGTGGAACACAAGAGTCATTTCTAAAAATCTGCGAGACAATATCCGGCAATGGTGGGCCAATGCTCAGGATAAACTTTTGGGGATTAGATTCATCTATATCTGGAATTACATCGAATAGGACTGGGCGTTTAAAAATGAATAGGACTCGTATCAATTCCGTCAGGTCGTCAGAATCTACCCTTGCAGGGCAGGAATTGGAGAACAATCTAGTGTAGTTCACTATTTCATCTGTTTGAAGAAAAAATATTATAAACATGTCGAAAATGACCTCAAAAGTTATCATAAATAGCTCATTTATTTTTTGTACCCAAATACATTCGCTTCTTTTCTCTCCCAACTTCTTCATAATCCACACAACTTTCGTAATATTCGTAGAAAAAGGACTGGCGCCCTTCCTGCTTTTCCCTCTTCATCTGTTCTAAAAAAATGAGAACAATGCGAAGCGGTGAAACGATGCAAATCGACTTGACTGAGTTTTCGAGGAATATCTCCGAATCTAAGGGGGATAGCGAAATTTTTGTAATGACCTTTTTTGTAGAGCGACTTGAGGGCTACAAAAATGGCTACAAAAAAATTTTGCTATCTGCCTTGGATTCCGAGATATCCGTTGAAAACTGACCAATAATATTTACTTTTAATGATCGATAGTGCTCTCGCCTCTGGATCAATGATTATCATCTCAGGATCGGCTTCGAGGCCTCCGCAAGCGAACTCGTAGAAATCCTCGCAGGGGTCTGCAGAGTGGTTCATCCAGGATAGCATTTTGCTGAATTTCTGTCTGCATTTTCCGGTGCACGCCTCGTCAACGGGTTCACGATGATCTGAATGATCTAAATGATGTTTTGATTCTTGTGTTGAGAAGTCCATTGGACGATGAGTCACATCATCACGAAATCCAGGAGTGGAAGTAGTAGATTCAGAGTTAATTTGGTTTTCGACTGATGTAATTCCCTCAGTAGAAACTTTCGTGTCGAGATCATCGAGCCAATTGTCGTTGGAGGGATCTTCCGTCGATGACGAATCATTGCCGAAGTACCTTGCAACCAACAGTCCCTTTAAAGACGTGAAGTCCTCGTCATTTAGAGTCGTTGACGCTTCTTTGGCTCTTGAAGGAGGTTCTGAAGAATTCGGGGGGTCAGAGGCATCAGTTGTCGAATAGAATCTTTCGTTAGTTGATCTCATCCCAGTATTTGTGCTTTCTTCCGTTGGAGGAACCGACCGTTCGCGATAACGATCTGTAGTCGTTATAAAATTAGTGAATAACAAATTCCGAATTGATGTGGATTGTTCTTCGGTTTTAATTTCTGGGGCTCGAGTGCTCTCTTCAGTTGTTGAAGACACGAAAATGTCGTCCTGAGGTGTTGGGTTGGCTGTACTTCTGGTTTCAGTTGTTTGTTCAGATTCAGAATCAAGAGAAAAATGTGGAGCGGTTGTTTCTGTTGGAAAATTTCGATACTTCCCTGATCGAAACGAATTTTTTGCAACTACTGGAGCCGTAGTGAAAATAATTTCTACGTCTTCATTTGTTGTAGTTTTCACAGGCGAAGGAGATCCCCGATATTGCTCACTCGAATTCTAATCGAAAAAAATTAATCAAGAAGAAAAACCTGTGAATTAGACTTTTATTGATCGAACGGAAGGGTGAAAGGGGCAAAATGGACTCAAGAATAAATTTATCATTTGATTCCCCTAAAGAAAAAATTATTCCATTTTAGAAAAAAATCAATGGGTCATTGACATTTGAACAAAAAAGTCACGAGTTTCCACTGGGCCTCACTCATAATTCAGGAATAAATTTATTATTTGATTCCCCTAAAAAAAATATTCTGTTCTATAAAAAAAATAATGAGTCATTAACATTTAAAAAAACTTCACGAGTATCCATTTTGCCCACGCGCCCCTACTCACGGGAGTATGAGCCTCTTCAGTCTCTCGATGGGAACCTCCTTCGAAAGGCCACGAAATGGCAATAACTATAATGACCAGCAAAGCGAACCCGAGCAACAGAATGCAGCAATTTTTGTAGTACCGATCATCGATTTTCTTTCGATTCCCTCTTTCAGAGGGCGGATCGTTCCCCTCGGGATGATTCTCCTCGCCTTGAGCGACCTGATAAGTACCAGACGTCATTCTCCAAACCGTGAATACCGCAAATTCAGAGATAAAAATTCGTGGAGTCGGCAGAACCGAACGCGTTCATAGCGAATTGCGAACTGAATTCCGTGGAAATTTTTCGCACACGTAGGTGCAACATGAGGATGTGGTTTTTCGATAGTAACTTCCTTCCCACAACGATTATAACGCCATGAATTCTTTTTCGTTTACATCAGGCAATTTTCCTGGGAATTTACGAAAGGGAGAAAATAAAAAAAAAAGATTGAAATTGGTTTGAAAATTATTTAAAAACAACTGGCTATTTATCCAAGACATTCTAGTCCTTTCTTCCTTCAATTTTCTAAAAGTTAACCACCAGTTACGCCTGCACACACCCAGGCGATCGTCAACCCTCATATTTTTACGTTTCCGACCATTCTAGATCATTCTCCAACAAAATAAAAAATCTACAAATAGAAAGACGTCAATCCTCCCATTCAGAAGCAAAAAACAATATCAAATACAGATAAAAAATAATGCAACAGGAAGAAGTTGCACAAAATAAAAAATCCACATTAGACTCTTAGAGAAATATTTATAAGTTACGTTTACATTTATAATACAAATATCACAGATATGTAAGCTACAAAAATCATTAATACCTATGTTCACCTAAAAAAATTGGTAAAATGCATTGGGCACAAAAAATGCGTCATCAATGATACTTAAAACACCGATACAATTATTCATCTCTCATTGCACGTGCTATGGCAACTGTGGACTAACGACTAATTAAAAACGAGTGGTCAAATACTATTTAAAAAATATATCCAAAAGTTTCCACGGAGGATAAATATTCACTCGTGATTTTCAAAAATTTGCACATGCGTCTCATTATCCTCTTTGTTTTGATTGAATTTGCGTTGGGAATGAGCTCATAAAAATCTCCCTTCACTCGGCACTCGAGTGCTGCTGTATCGCCTGGAAATCAATGTCCGATCTGATATGCTCCTCAGGACAGTCTGATTGCATTAATGCTTCGATTGTTGAACCAATTTCCCTAGTTATGGAGAAATTATCTGCTGGGACTCTTTCACTGCTGGATTCTTCTTCAGTGTAACTCAATCTCAATGGTTCTGGTGATGGCTGCAATATGAATAAATTCAAATATAAGAAGCTCATTCTATTTTAATAAATATATAATTGATTTGTTTCCACATGTGTTCAATAAGACGTAAGATAAATTACCCCATTCTGTCCTTTATAAAAAAACTTACAATTCTCTTATCCACCTCGTCAGCCCTCACCTTCTCCTTATCCCCAACTCCAGCGCTGCTCTTCTGGGGCAATTGTCTCTTTGGCGTTGGCTTGCGAGGCTTGAACGTCCCCGAAGCTTTTTTTGGTAATTGCGAGGTCGAGTGCTTTTTCGTCTCCCCGCTCTGATCGCAATTGTGAGTCACCAGTTGATCCTTACACTTGAACGTCTGCAGGAGAAATACAAACAATAAAATCGAGCTCAAAGAATCCCAAGAAAATAACACAATTATCTTACATGAGAGCAGCTGTCACACTTCAGACTGTGTTTACTAATCTCATGATGTTTGAGGGCCTGCGCCCTGGGAAAATTCCTGTTGCAGTGGCCACAGCTGAACCTCTTGATGTTGCTGTGGGTCAGAAGATGCCTCTTGAGTTTGTCAGGCCTGGAGAACTCGCTCATGCAGCCTAGGTAGCCCCTGAAGGGGCACTTGAGCCTCTTCGTGAGGTCGTGAATGAGCATGTGCCTGCCAAGGCGATCCTTCCTCTTGAACCTGGCAGGACACTGGCTGCAGCTGTAGGGGGTCTCCTCGCTGTGAATTAATTTGTGATTCGCCAGGTACTGCTCTGTCTTGAAAGCCTTGCCGCAGTCCTCGCAGGCGAATCTGGCCGAGGACACGTGAGTCTTCAGATGTCTCCGCAGGAATCTCTCGATGAGAAAGCTCTTTCCACAGTGGGGACAGGCGTAGTCGTGAGTTGTTGTCTCGGTGTGATGCTGGAGGGCCTCCAAATTCGAGAAGGAGCTCTTGCAGACAGTGCAGCAGTAATACTTCTCCGTTGTCTTCTGCTTCTGGACGGAGTGGACGTACTGGTGGAGCCCGAGGTCGCTCAGGGTATTGAATACTTGGCCGCACACGTGACACCTGTACTCGGATCTCTTGTGGCTGCGTGTGTGCTCGAGAAAGTCGTCGAGCTCCGCGAACATCATGCTGCAGGAGCTCTGGACGCATTTGTAGACCTTCAGGGTCATGTGGGAGACGATCAGGTGGGCCTTCAGGGCCTTGTACGAGTCGAATATCTCTTTGCAGAATTGACAGTGGTAGGTGCGGTCTATGTTACCGTCGGGGGGGGCTTCTGGTGGAAGTGAGTGGATTGCTGTACCTGAAATGCAGAATGAAACAGCTCAGCTCTTACTTTTTTTGCATTTCTTGTTTTCCAGGACGAAGATCATGACAATTTTATTTCGTAAATGATTTATTAACAATCAATTCTTTCCGTAAAATTGTTTTCAATATTGATAATTTCACCAGAAAATGATTTCATGGGAGAGAATAACGTTTCATGAGGTTCAAAGGACTTTTAGGTATTTTTTCTCTTTGTGAAACATTAATAGAATAATTGATAAATGGCAATTTTCGAACCCTGAAAGTAATTTTTTTAAATCGTAACCATTTCCTCGACATTAACAATATTGAAATGCTCAAAATTTTTGAGTTTAAAAAAGGAAAACGTAGATTAAAAATTGTAATTTACCTGGCCACACTTTGTGCGATGACATGTGCTTCTTGACATTGGATTTCTGAGCAAATGCCCGTCCACAAACAACACACTGATACGGTTTCTCCCCGGTGTGCGAGCGCTCATGCTGCTGCCAGTAAAATTTCTTCGCAAACTGCTTATTACAATAATTGCATTTGTACTTGAAGTTTTGGGGTGAAGTCGAGGGATTCTCAGGATCCTCCGGGGCTTCGTTTTGATCCAGTTGAGGATCCGCAGGGGCCTCTGTTGGCACAGTCTCAGGTTCCATTTGATTGAGATTGTTGAGCGTTGTTGCTTCGGTCAGCATCTGCTCGTCCTTCAGGAGATTGTCGGATGTGCTCTGGTGGAAGGTCTCGAGGTTTTCGGCTGAGAGGATTATGGGGACGCCGAAGCCAGTGTCCGAGGTGAGGTAGGCACCCTCCTGGTCCATGCTGAAGAGCATGTCCGTTTCCTCGAGGATTATTGGCTCTGTCAGCTGATCTGTCTGGATGAAGGTCCCCTCGGGGTTGTACTGCGGCTGTTGGCAGGGGTCCTCTGGGTGTGGGGGCGCCTCGACGCTGTTGGGGACCAGGTATTGAGAGAGGTCCACTGTCTCCTCGGGGGGCTTCAGGTGCTCGCGTTTGTGGAGGAGAAACAGGTGGAGGGACGTGAATTGACACTTGCATTTGCCACATTGGAAGATGTCGTCGTCGTCTTGGTCGATTGCTGGATAAATTTTTGAGGGGTCAATTGTCAATTTTTTTCTACATTCAAGCGAAAACGCGTGGCTCTTAAAATTTGAATGATTCTAAAACTATGACAGGTGCGATTTAACGAGCGTCATTAGAAAGCTGAATAGCATGGCTTTGATTAGGGAAGTCAATAAAGAGAAACTTGGCATTTGTAGTCACCAAAGAATAAATGAATTGAATTGTTGATTAGGGATGTTAAAAAGGGGGAAAAGTCATTGTTTAATAAATGAACCTATTAAACTTGTGAAATTGATATTTCTCTTTTTTTTATTTCTTGATGGCCAGAGGGGTGGGCTGAGGGGTCAGCAGATGTGCATTTAACAGTGGAATGAGATAAATTTAGTATTTTTTATCGTGGGGATTTTTTTGGCAAGGAGGATTTAATTCTTTACAAGAATTCAATTCTTCTTGCCAAAAAAATTGATAATAGTAATAACAATTCTCCACGAGAATTAAAAGAAAAAAAAATCTTTTATATTTAAAAAATGAAATGAATTCTTTTATATTTAAAGAATTCATTTGGATTCTCTACAATAATTTAATTCTTAATGAAAAATTTGGTTTCTTAAGAATTATTCATTGAAATAGTTCAATGTTCAATGGAATTTGAGAAATTGTGAATATTTAGATGAGACAAATTCTAAATTTACGTTGTAATAAACGACTTTTCATGCAAATGGATAAATTTTTGAGGGGTCAATTGTCAATTTTTTTCTACATTCAAGCGCAAACGCGTGGCTCTTAAAATTTGAATAATTCTAAAACTATGACAGGTGCGATTAAACGAGCGTCATTAGAAAGCTGAATAGCATGGCTTTGATTAGGGAAGTCAATAAAGAGAAACTTGGCATTTGTAGTCACCAAAGAATAAATGAATTGAATTGTTGATTAGGGATGTCAAAAAGGGGAAAAGTCATTGTTTAATAAATGAACCTATTAAACTTGTGAAATTGAAATTTCTCTGTTTTATTTTTTGATGGCCAGAGGGGTGGGCTGAGGGGTCAGCAGATGTGCATTTAACAGTGGAATGAGATAAATTTAGTATTTTTTATCGTGGGGATTTTTTTGGCAAGGAGGATTTAATTCTTTACAAGAATTCAATTCTTCTTGCCTAAAAAAAATAATAATAATAATAGTAATAATTCTCTACGAGAATTAAAAGAAAAAAAAATCTTTTATATTTAAAAAATGAAATGAATTCTTTTATATTTAAAGAATTAATTTGGATTCTCTACAATAATTTAACTCTTAATGAAAAATTTGGTTTCTTAAGAATTATTCATTGAAATAGTTCAATGTTCAATGGAATTTGAGAAATTGTGAATATTTAGATGAGACAAATTCTAAATTTACGTTGCAATAAACGACTTTTCATGCAAATGTCACTGAACATTTCCTGCAAAGAATTAAATTTCTAAAAAAAATCAGTTTATATTGCCTCTAAAACTGATCATCCTAATAATCAGATATAAAAAAAGATGTTATAAATCCACATTAAATAATTCTAATCCATTCCCTACTCCCCCGAGCGTGAAACCCCATCGCCCAAAGCAAAAAAAAAATACCTGAATGTTCGACTTCTGTGATGAGCGTCTGCGACTCGAGAAGAGACTGCACAGCGGAGCTGTCCAACGACACCCCTGAAAACCCAGAAAATCCCTCCATTATTCTCTGCCCCAAACGACCGAAGCCTCTCACCAAATTCTCTCCAGTAAATTATCCCCGAGGTGCCCGAGGTTTCTGCTCTGTTGAATCTAACCCTCACAACGTCAGAGGGTCGTCCTCACCTGTCAGTGCGTCGAACAGAGACTGTGCCATCGTGAGCCCCTCAGAGACCCCCAAAAATGTAAAAAACCAATTTCGATGCTGTTTCACGAATAATCGAGTCCCTGTGGCACTTCAATTTCGCGATTAAACCACATACCGATTGCTACTGACAGCGTTTTACGCGATTTACTGTCTCCGTCTCGTTCTACCGAAGGGGAGAGCGACCTAGCCTCACTCCAGCGCTGCAGGTGGGTTCACAATGGAGCGGGAAAAGCCGGACATTACCCGGAATTTGAATACTCCGTCGGGCTGAGGAAGGGGGAGGACGAGAGAATCCTCACGCCTTCAGTCAACGTCTTCCAGTAAACAAAACATAATCGAGGAAATTGTTGCGGCAAGACAGGACCGGATCCCGTCCATTGTCTCGAATATTTACCAGTCAAATCAAATTTGACACTAAAAACATTAAACTTTGGATTAAAAATATTGCAGTCATCTGTGGACAGATAACCGTTGGAGAAGTGAGAAAAGGTGAGGGGCCACAGCTTTCATCACCTTTCGACGATTTATTGTCCCCATTGGCGTCATTGAGTCATTGATGGATTCATCGTGTTCGATAATTAATTTATTCGTTAAAGTATTTGTCTCTTCTTCCGGAATTTTGATGTTTGTGGGATGAAAATGATGAGAAACGAGGGCAAGAATGTCGAGACTTATTGTTCAAGTCGAGACGATCGAATGTATGAGTCAATCTCTCTGTTTTCATGTCGTGAATAGCAGCGGCTGGGGCTGACAGAGGAGAGGACCTGTCGTCAAAACAACAGTTGAGATTCTTTGGAAAAATGACGATCCCTGAGAAGACGGTAATTCACGGAATAGCGTGAATATGGAATGGATATTTTAGCTTTGAGTGAAAGTTTTATTTGATTTCATATCCTTTTTTCGATTTATCCTGGAATTCAAGGGAGATCTCAAAATTATTGTAAAAACATTTTTTGTTCTTCTGTTTTTTATCTGTAAAAAATGTCTCGAGCAAAATTGTGACATCAAATTCGAACCAGAAAATCTTTTTTTACAATTTTAAAGTAAAAAATCAATTATTTGAAACAATAATTTTTTTCGGTGAAATTCAATGCAATAATTTTTTTGTTTGAAGTGAAAAAATAGAAGAAATAAATTCAACATTTAATTTACAATTCCCTTGAACTTCTCGAGATGGTAATTTATTTTTAATTATTAATTGATTATTCACAGGTAGTTTTCTCACCTCAAGCAAAAGCTGCCATTGTTGCTAAATTCAACTCCATTAAAAATATCTTGATGCAGTCCTCGGCAGGTAAGGACCCTTCAGAGCTGGCTATAACACTACAGACGGTTTCTGACATGATCATGGAGCTCTACGAAGGCTATCCAGAAGTCGGTGAGGCGAAGTGTTATCAATTATTAATATTCTTCCTATTCATTATTTAATTGAATTTATTCATTTATTTATTTCATTCCTTCATTTATTTTATTTCATTTTGTTTAAAGCGACGTTAAATAATAAATTTATTACGAATTTATCGTACAATTGAGTTGAATAATGGGTTACAAAAAAATCAGTGAGATATAAATTGTCAAGTAATTTTCGTTTGTTAATTTTTTTACATCGATTTTTTTTTTCAGAGGAATTCGCAATGCCATGGGCTTATGAAGAGTCGGAGGGGGAATTGGAAGATCTCCCCTCATCTGAGCAGCCTCCCCCCTAAATTCAGAAGAACAATTAAAATCATTTCATTTTCCCTCAACATTGATCCCCACTCAAAATCTCCCCAATACCTGGTTATTATAAAAAAAAAACAGCATAATATTTTAGTTGATGTAATTTTCGTTCACATGCTAATCCAGAGAAAAACATTTAAATAATAAATATAAGATATTATTTCTACGTTTAGTGTAAGATTGATGAGCATGGAGAAAAAGAGGGTCGAATTGTGTTGAAGTAATGAAAAATTGAATAAAACTGTATTTTCATGTTTGAATATTTTTTCGTTTCCATTGAACCCTATTCTCATTGTATTTTTTTGTTCATGAAAATCCGCCATGCCCGGCCATACATAACCTCTGAATAAGTGCAATGTGAATAAAGTGTCAACAACTGTCTGCAACGATCTCTCGAAATTGTTTTTCAAGGGATAAAAATCACTGAGCGATTGAAAATGTCTACGGTACTGCGAATAAAGCGTCGAATTGACGATGAGCCTTGCGATGTGTTGCTGATCGCCTGTAAAAAGAGGAAAGTGGAAGAATCAGAGGCTGTGAGGCCAGACGAATCAGGAGCAGTTACTGCGGTTGTCAAATTTGCTGGAACTGTTCAGACTCAGGTACTCAATCAGTTCTCTCGATTAATTTCATGAAATGATGACTAGTTATATAATTAAGATTATTAATTAGTATAATGATATGGTTTAGATGATTAGTTAATATAATGATGTAATTGGGATTTTTTTGTCGTTAGGAGGAGGACTTGACCCACCACCTGACGAAAACATTGAGCAAAGAGGAGTTGAAGGCTAATTATAAACAGCACATTGTGGATATCACGAGTAAATCTAGGGTAAAGACACAGGAGAAGTCCAAGGAGGGTCGATATAGGGTTGTCAATTGCTACAGATCTCTGGGAGGCCCCACAATTGAGGAGGTTGATGACAGTGGGATGACTGTCATCGATGTGGAGGATTCAGTCTCTTGTTATGATAAAATGTCTTCTAATCAGAAGGTAAATTTAGATGAGTTAATTGCATTTTTTTCATCGTTTTGTGTATTTTATATTTTAACATTCATAGTTTGCAAATAAGTCTCTGAAGTTGTTTAAACCTCATTTTTTAGGCATGAAACTGATTTCTGGTAAAATTCTGAATATTAATAAATTTGTTAAGATTCCAAACAAATGATTTTTATGGTGGCAAATCTATTGTTTATAAATTATTTATCGCAAATGGTCGTAATTTTAAAAAACTGTAATTTTGAAATTATCTCATCAATTTTTTTAGCAAATTTCCTATTTTTTTCAGATTTTAAAAATGTTTTCTAACGGTTCAATATCGAGATTAAAATTCAGACCAGTAAAGTTTAAATAATAAAATCATTGTGAAATGTCCGGAAAGTTAGGGTCAAATGGGGGTGAAATGCATTTCAATGGAGAAAAAATAGCCGAAATACACTGCTAAAACAATAACAAAAATTAGTTCAGTTCAATAAATTAAATACAACATTTTGATTACCGATATCTAATTTTAGGAAGAAATGCAAAAAAATCATTTTTACAGGAAGCCAAATTCGTTTACGATTTATACTACACTCAAACCGAAGAGAAGCTCGAGCCAGATAACGACATTTCAATCCACCCACTGGACCAAGAACTGGTCTTCGATAACTACAGAGATCCAGCAAACAACTCTGACGCTGGTGAATCCGAGGACTCGAACTCTGAATCCAATTGGAGGAATGAGTATCCAGACTCTGAGCACTCTGATAACTCAATCGACGAGGACGACATGAGGGCAGCTGTGGCGAAGCTGAAAGTCGATGGTGATGAGTCTGATCTGTCCACAGACGACGATTTCGTTTACGCTGTTGATGAGAACGATGTGGATAATTATGGGTACAAATACGCCAAGTACAAAGCGAAGATCAAGGTGGAAATCAGTGGGGATGACAGTGATTTGAGTGATTACAGTGGGGTTTGCATTACTGAAGAGCCTGATGATGACGAAGAGTACAATAATTACTGATTTTAGAAATGGGAAAATAGTCTATCACTTATTTTGATATTATTCCCTAGTCTATTCATGGTAATGATGACGAAGTGTTGATCATGTGATGACGATACTCATCATCACTATAACGAATTTATAATTTCTACTGGAAATTTATGAATAATAAATGAAGTCATCAATTTCTGCAAACATCTGGGCATTCCAAATCACCGAGAAGTGTCACTTCATTCGAAATGTAAAAGTTTTGTAAATAAAATTCATTTTTGTATTCAAATTTTCATGGTTTTTCGTTTTCTATTCCTGAAATCAACTCGTACAATTAATTCTAGTCCATTCATAATCGGGAATTAATTATGAATTAAACGAAATTAATTGGTAATTAATTTCAAAGATCATATTAATTTAATCACAGAGCGTTTATTCATGATTTCCACAATTCATTCATAATAAAAAAGGAAAAAAAATGCGAGCACAGTCTCAACCAGACGTGCGACAAAAATACCCACGGAACAGTAACATTATTTCATTCAAATTGCGCTCAAAAAAATGTCATCTCTCATCAATGAAATATTCTCCATCAGCGTATACATGTAACACTGGCCTTAACTCTAATTTATGCACATCGTGTGCGCTCGCGTTTGCCTCCCACAATCCGAGATTATTATTTTATTAATTAACTATTCGATTACAATTTCAGTGATTAAATGCTCTGGGGAAGTTCACAGACAGTTGTTGCACTCAGATCACAGATACTCCAATTAAAAACTTTTTTTTAAATCATTTTTTTCTTCTTTGAAACTGTCAGTCACCTTCACAAGGCAATTTAATTTTTTAATTAATGATTTTAATTAATGAATGGATGAAACAAATTCTGACAAATTTCATTTGCCCATGGAAACTTCAGATACTATGTATTGCGAGCGCAAACTAAATTTATTTATATTTATATAATATATTAAATGTTATATTGCAACGTAACTTAACAGATTCACAAGCTGAGATTGGTATCATTACTGGATCATTATCATACGCATTTTGTCTCGTTAAAATGGTAATACTCTACTCGATTTTTTCCCCCTACTGTACAACATTTTACACCCACTCCATCCATTTCTATGGTTTCTCAAACATCTCCAATGATTTTAAAATTCCAATTTTTTTAGGTATGACGATTGATAAATCTAAAACTACCTACGAGATTATTTCGAGAGTCATGAGATTGCACACCCACTCGTTGGGTAGAATGAAAACCATTTTCGAGAGAAGAAGAAAAAAATAGAGCCCCCATTCCCTCCACTAAATCGTATTTAACCGTCATACGAATCAATAGTTGCATAAATTTTATTTACAGGACGATTTGATCGATTAACCCTGCAATCTCCACGTCACGCTCATCTACTCAATTCACACTCCTCCCTCTCTCTATTTACAGATTCTCATTGTATTCACTTATAAGTACGAACAATTCCCTGGATTCAACAAAAAAAAATCAATGAAAATCACTCAATATATATTTGTTTTTAACTAAGAAAATTAGTTATGACGTATTATAAACTGGCAACAATTAACAGTCCTATGGTTGCTCGATCAGCGAAAAATCACTGTCGATTTCGTATTGTTTAAATCCTCCTGCCTCGAGTGAAGTGAAAAAATCGGTAATCTGTGCCCCAGGGAATTTCTTCACTCCACTCAATCACAGAATTTCAGTGTTTATCCTGTCAAAGCTGGAGGAAGTGCAATTTCAAGAACTATTCATGAACAATTGCAATCCCAAATCCACCAATTGACATAAATGAAATAATAATCAAACAGTTTAATTAAAAAATTACCAAAAAAACAGTTCATCGAAATTACAAAATAGTTTCATTTCACGTTTGAAATAATTTAATTTAACGTTTGAAATAGTGTAATTTCAGGTTTGAAATTGCACTTCCCCAGTTCAACACGAAAACAAAATTTAAAGTACAGAAGCCTCGGTCCTGCTCGAAGGGCTCGTCGTAGTGTGGCTATTCGAATTATTATTATTACTGTTTGAATTATTATTGTTGTTACTAGCTTCACCAGCGTGACTGGAGCAGTAGAATTTTTTGTGTGCAATAAATGTACTAAGGTAATTGAAACTTATGTCACAAGAGCGACAGTATCTCGGTCCTGTTTTGTTCGGATCAAGGCTCTCCTCCGGGGGTGGTGTTTCCTCCCTCTCCTGTTTAACTTTTCCACCAGCGGTGGGTGTCGTTGACTGCTGTACCGGCGGCGGTGGGGGTGGTGGTAATGCTGGTAATGCGGGGAGTGGACTCTTGCGTGATTCACTTTTGCCATTTACTTGTACTTCAGTGGGAATCTCCTCGGGGGTGGTCGCTGGAGCTGGCTCGGGGGTTGGTACTGTTGCGTCGTCATCCAGGACACACGTAATGTAATTTTCTTCCTGGAAATTGGGGAATGATGAATAAAAAATTGTTCAAGGTAATTAATGAAGAGAAAACATGTGAAAACAGATGAGGTAATTTCGTTTTTGAAGGAAAGGGAGATGGCGAATTTTTTTCAATGCTTTTTTTGGAGGAAAAAGAATACAAAAAATGTTGTTTTATGGAAATTTCGAAAGCTCGTGTTGACTATGGGATAATTATCGAATTTGAACGTTGAGTTGAAAGTATTTCGATTTTTTAAGCTTTAATTAATTTTAATGAATGGAAAAATCCACTTTTTTTAGGAGGAAAATTACACAAAAATTAATTTTCTGTGACATTTTCAAAATCTTGCTAAACTCTGCGTCAAGTTGCATCCACTCCGATTTTTAAAGCTATAATTCTGATGAAAACATGAAAAACCAATGAAAAGGGGAAATTTTTCTTGTAAAAAAATTTATAAATAAAAAAGGAATAATATAAAGTAATTATTATTCATGTATTGTACAAACCTGAAGATCAGTTCCCCGTTTTTCGAAATGCATTCTGATATGTGTCCTCATTCCCCTGAGTGTATTCCCTTTGTACCGACATATCGTACACCTGAATGCCTTGACACCTTGATGAGCATCCATGTGACGCTGGGCGGCGCCTGCTGTCGGACTAACAGCACCACAAACTGGACACCTCCACCCACCTGTCGGGCCACTCGAGCACGTGTGCGTACTGCCCGCCTCAATCGTCGTCTGCAAATAGAAGGGAGAAAATTGTTTTATCACTGCATTGGGTCCACTGACATGCCTGTCTCCATTGATGTTGAAAATGCCACTTGAAGATCAGATGAATTTTCAAACAATCCCAGAAAACAATTTTTGCCAGTGCCACCTAAAATTTAACAGGACCCCGGCAATTCGTCGACAAATTGTCGACATACTGTTTGCTGGGATATCTTGAAGATCTTAGAGATGTTTGTTAATTCGTAAATCTGTTCGCTAATTTTAACCCATTCATTGTTGGTGAAATTCATTGAAGGATATCCAAGTATCATTTTGCAGACCATATGATAAATTCAACTATTTAAATCATCAAATTTGTCAATTAAATGGCGTGAGAAAAATTTGACAAAAAATCATGAATATTCAGCGTCATCCAATAAATAATTGAAATTGTTCAAACTATCGAAAACCTTATTTTTTCAGGCATGAAATCGATCTCTGGTAAAATCCTGAACATGAATAAATTTGTCACGATTCCGAACAAATGATTTTTATAGCGGAATATTGATTATTTATAAATTATTCATAGAAAATTATAATTTTCAAGTGATTTCATCAATTTTCTTTCAAAAGTAAACTTTCCCATTTTTCTCAGTATTTTAAAATATTTTCTAACGTTTCAATATCGAGTCAATTAGAGTCGAGTAGGTCTCAAATGAAAGTTCTGATGTTCGACACCAAAACAACAAAACAAATTCAGTAGCGAAGCGGTAAACCGGGTCAAGTCGATTTTTCCTTTTGGCCATTTTTTGATGAATATCTCGGAATCTAAGAGAGATAGCAAAATTTTGGTCATGACCTTTTTTATAACCCTCAGTTGGCTCTACAAAAAAGGTTATGACAACAATTTTTGTATCTCTTTTAGATTCCGAGATATTCGTCAAAAACTGGTCAACAGTTAAAATCGACTTAACCCGGTTTACCGCTTCGCTCTTGAATTGTTTTCCCAATTCATCACCCCACGTCCACTGTGGACACTAGCCATGCGCAAAGACCCCTTAAGGATGTTCGACACCCTTTTATCCAAAATTGACGTTGTTTTCATTTTTCTGGCAAATTATCGATGGGAGTGAGGTGAAAAAATATAACGATTTTGTGGTTTGTCATTCTTGAATGGCTCACGAAGTTGCGTAGTGGTGCGATAATTTTCATGCGTTTTTTCTACAGTTTTGCGATTCTTTTTAAAAGTTTAGAGAAAACGCCGGAAAATGTTCGCACCACCTTAAAATTTCGTCAGTCATTAAACAATGACAAACCGCAAAAACGTTATATTTTTTCACGTCAATTTCACCATAAGTTTGCCAGAAAAATGAAAAAAACGTGAATTTTGGCAGAAAGGGTGTATAACATCCTTAAACATTTTCCTACCTTACACTTCGGGCACCTAGTATGATGCTCCTGGCTCTCAGGTCTCTTCGGACAATAAAAGGCCTGATGTGCCACCAAATTATCCATGGAAGCGAATTTGATGCCACAAGCAGCGCAAATGAGCTGCACAAGTGGTGGCGAAGGTGTACCAGTAGGTGGTGGACTAGAAACAGTGTTCTCCCTGGCCTGGCAGTAATGCTTCTTATGCGCGACAAAGTTCTCATGCCTGCAAAAGACAATATTGCACTCTTTGCACCTGCTGACCCCCTGTTTGACGAGTACCCCAGGAACACTGGGCACAGGAGGCGGAGGGAGTTCTGCGAGCCTCAACGCAAGTTCCGTGGGGGGTACAGAGCCCATGGCCGAGGAGCTCTGGCTGGAGGGTAGTGACCTAGTTCTCGGACTGACGCTTCCCCGGGACCTGGGGCTGCCGGGGGGCGCCGGAAGTGAAGAGGGAGCGGGGGAGACCCTGTTCTCCTTCTCGTCCTGGTGCACCGGAGACCGCCTCATGCTGAGATCCAGCGGGAATGAGCCAGTGGACGACGGCGACGTGGGAGTGACAGGAGCCGGTGGTACACTGGCAGGAGTTGCGCTCTTGTTGGCGACCCTGAGCACCTGCGGGCTCTCGGTCGAGTTGGCGGTGAGTCCTCTGGTCATGGGCTGGAGCGAGCCATTCGGCAGGAGGAAGCAAGCGGTGTCGGGGGCCGGCAAAGAGGGGGCAGCGAGGACCGAGGCGCCCCTCAGTAGAGAGCACGGAACAATGAGAATGGGATTGGTCGGCAGAGCAAGACATGGCTGAGGCGGTGGCGACTCCCCGGGGCTCGAGCTGGCCGGTGGCGATCCCTTCGCCGAGGACACCGGTGTCGGCGTGTCCTTGACGACGTGCCTCGTGCTGCAGTAGTGGGTCTTGTGTGCTCGATAAGTCTTCAGCGAGCTGAACCTGATGTCGCAATTGCGACAGTAACGCTCGGCCTCCTCGTTCAGCGATCCGTTCGACGACGTATTGTTGGTTATCACTGGAGTGGGGGCTGTCTGGATAGTGGGCGACGGCGCCGGGGGTGCGGGGGCCGGGGACGACGCGTGCATCCTCATGTGTCGGTTGAGGGAGACCTTCTTGTCGGCCGAGTACGAGCAGTGGGGGCAGGCGTAAGCCTTTCGGACCTCGAATTTCGTGGATTTCTCGTCGTCGTCGTCGTTGGCACTTTCCTCGTCGATTCGCGGCCGGTGGGCGCAGTAGAAGGTCCGGTGGGCCTCGAGGGTGCTCGCGGAGGAGAAGCGGATGCCGCAGGGCGGGCAGAGCAGCGGCATCGGGCGAGAAGGCTCGACTGTTATGGACTCTTTTCCATCGGTTGGCAGGACGAAGAGGCGCCCCGCTGCTATCGCGTTCTGGAGACCTGGGGGGAGAGGTGGGGTGGGCTCTGCCCGCGGCTCCGGGGGTGATATGCTGTCGGGTTTGATGGTGAGGGCTGCTACGGTGGCCGGACGAAGCGCCGGGTCGGTGGCGAGGCTGGCGTTCAGCCGCAGGCGAGGAATGCAGTCGTCGTCGAGACGGAGTTTCTTCGGGTCGGGGTCGTCCGAGCGGACCGAGTCGTCGGAGGACCTGCGGGTGTCTCTTCTTCGCGGGCGGTGGTCGATCTCCTTCGGGGAGGGTGAACCGGTCTTTGGGTCCGGCCGCGCTGGCTTCGGGCTCGAGGAGTCTCGACCACTTCGCGATTTCATCCCCCGTTTGAGACCCTCGAAGTCCTCGGCGAGACTGTTGATCCGCTTTCTGGCATCTTCGGAGAGGCTCGACAGGCGGAAGCGAAAGTCTTCAGGGTTGCTGTTCCCCAGGAGGTTCTGGGGGATACTCAGTCTTGGGGGTGGTGGCAGGCTGTTGTCTTCCTCCGGATTCGCCGGGGCTGGACTCGACACGGCCGAGCCCGGACCGTCCACTCCGCTGCTCACCGACGGGGTCTTCTCCGAATCGCTCCATTCTTCATCTTCCCCTGGAACAGAAGAAAAGAAATAGTAGTAATTGACTAGGTGATTAGTGGCCATTGTAGATGCTGTCGGGTTACATTTGTGAGTCCTCTGAGGAGTGATAAGCTCCCGGGAGAGGATCATGATCGGTGAATGGAGATTGACGCAGGGAAAATGGGGAAAACTCGGAGATGCGGAGCGGTTGACGCTCAGATCCCCAATGATCATTTTCATCTTCCATCAGTCTCGTCCCACCCGGGGTATGCTCCCCACCCCTGTCTAGGTCCTCCCCACTCTATGAATTCTCACTTCCCCATACGCATGTCCCTACGCTCAACTATTTCAAGCCCTTCGGAGACTCCCTTAGATTTGCGGCTCGCGGACGATAAACAAAGCGCAAGGGCGATCTTCAAAAATGGGTAGGCAAGGATGGGCTGATCAGTTTTGCTGGAACTAAATTGCCGGCGGCTGTATCTTAGATACAGCTGTAACTTATGTGGATACGTCGACGGTTTTTCCTTCTTTCTCGAATTTTCCGGAAAGTCCTTGAATTCCCTCGAAATTTCTAGAAACTCCTTGAATTCTCTCGAATTTTCTACACGGAGAGAAATATTCAATAAAAATTACACATCTTTTCTGTAATTCCGGAGCGTTCCGTAATATTTATCTGAATCTCCTGTGAAAAATTACGATACACTGTCACTTAAATTTTCTGAGTCGATTTCGTAATCGGTGACTGAATTCTGAGTTCCGTAATTTTTACTGAACATTTCTCTCCGAGTAGAAACTCCTTGAACTTTTGTAGCGAAGCTACTTATATATTTATTCCAGATTAATTGAATGTATTGTATTCGAGCAGGACATCCTCGCGACGATTCGTAATAATTCGGACATCCTCGATCGGATGATTTATATCGTTGTCTCGGGAGCTCACTCTCGTTCCAGCTCCCACGGTATAAACCAAAGTTACATTTGCTGTGAATAAATCTAATTCGATATATATTAATTCCGAGTGTTATACGTTACAAATCCCATCTATCCTTCACCGACTTGCCACATTTTTTCGAAATTTCAAGAAACTCCTCGAATTACCTCGAAATGTCTAGAATTTTCTAGACGTCCGACAGATGGCGTTGCACATAGTGACCGCTTCCCAAAATGACTCCCCACACTGAAACCCCAGACGTATCCACGTCAATACCAAAACTTTCCTCTGATCTCCAGAATTTAATATTGTCGTCTTGACATACGACGGAGGGTGACGCTGTCGTCTTCAAATCAATCCAAACCCTGGGAAAGCTGCAATTTTAAAGACCGAAATGATCGATCCAAAGCAACAGTCGACGATGAAGTCCTCCGCCGTCAATCAGAGGATCGGCCATCCGCCAAATGCCTTTAATTGTCAAGCGTTAAAGCTCTGAAATGATCCCCCCAGAGATTGCCCTCCACCCTCAATGATTTCTCCCAACGCCTCACCATCTCCATCCACAGAGCCCCCCTAAAACACATGTACCCATACTCGTTTCCTAGTCCATATCCATTCTCCTGATCTCCCATGGTTCGCAGTTGGCGTGTTTCTGGCCTCTGTAAATAAGCAGTCATCGATGGATCTCTCAGCGGTTTAGAGCACACCGTCCAGCATTCAAACTCCAATGCAAGTGTACAACAGAGACACATAGCTGAGTTTAAATGCCCCTGAGGCCATTCTTAATTGCATGTGCATGCAAACTGATGCATTCCCTCTCTCTCTCTCTCTCTTCATTCGGCGGCAGCAGCTGGGGGTTGAGGTGGCTCGAGTGAGTGAGAGCTTGAAAACAAGTACATACACCCTTTCACGATGGTGAGTGGTGGAGGGCGAGCAATATATCTCGATGTGGTGGGACGCGAGGGAGAGAGAGAGAGAAGGGATGCAGGGGTGAAAGCGGGAGGGGAGCTACACGGCCGCCATTAACATATCCACACGCTGATAAGAGTTTCTCGGAACCGATACTGCTGCCGCCCGTATACAGGCATTTTTCTCTCTTCCTCATTCCTGGGTACTCTCCTTCATTTCGGTGAGGTTTATGTATTTCGGGATCTTTCATAAGGGATTGGTAAGAGGATAGAAGGAATTATCTAATCAAAGTTGATCAAATTTGAGGAATGAAGGCATGCTGATCTGGGGCTCCGTGCGCTCCGATAGTTGCGGCTATATCCGGCGACGAATAAAGATACAACATAAATTAATAAGATGGTTCTTCAACATAAATTAATAAATGGATAAGAGGCCCCTTGACATCTTCCAGATGATAGACAATTTTATTAGGCTTCGAAGGGCGATCCGCAACATTCCTACAAAATTAAAGCAATCTTATCAACGATTCTCCTGTATGCTGATCAATTCATCAGACTTCAGCGAATTCGAGTGCTTCATTTTTCTCACAATGCAAGGATGTGTCTTGTCCATGATCCCCAGAGAGAGACGAATATCAATGTGGCTTAAAAGACAGGCGTTACCAAAAGGCTTCTTGATACCCTTCAGATCATAGACAAGAAGCAATCTTATCAACGATTCTCCTGTATGCTGATCAATTCATCAGACCTCAGCGAATTCGAGTGCTTCATTTTTCTCACAATGCAAGGATGTGTCTTGTTCATGATCCCCAGAGAGAGAGAGAGAGAGAGAGACGAATATCAATGTGGCTTAAAAGACAGGCGTTACCAAAAGTCTTCTTGATATCCTTCCAGGGTTGCCAGATTTTGGCGGTTTATAGCCAAAACCTGTACAATTCTAAATGGGGTGACGTCACGATCTGGTAACACTGTATCCTTCAGATCATAGACAATTTCAGCAACGATTCTCCCATACCCTGACCAATTCATCAGACTCGGAATAATTTGAAGCCCTCGAGGAACGAAGCGTTCAAGTCCTTCTAATGCACAGCCCGATGACAGCCAAGAAGTGTCTATGTAAATGTAATTCAGATATCCTTCCTCGTGACGTGGTGCTCAAAATAGAGGTGAATTAACAGAGGGAGGGGGAGGGGGGTGGTTGTGTATAGGGGAATCACACGCGAGACATTTTAAAAACCTGCAGAGAGGAGTGAATCTTCTCACGGAGGCACGACCCTGGTTAGTTGTATATATGCCCTCCTCCTCCTCATCTTGAATTTCTCCTCCTCGTTCTTCGGCTTCTTGCCTTGTGCTCTACACGCGCTGAGATATGCTAATGCGCCGTCCCCAGCGATCGTGACACCGTTCCTGCTAAGTGAGAGCTCAACAGTCCAAGACTTGGCGAGCTTCTTCTCGACTCTTTTTTTGATCATTTCAGTAGTTTTGTTTTGAGTGCTTTTTTTTCTTCTTAACAGTTGTTTTGCTTATGGTGGGCGCTGCTGGCAATGGGGCATCTTCATCTAAACGCCTCTCTGCCACGTTGGTTGGAAAGCACAAGCCCAGGGACACCGAGATGACGATGTCTTCATTGGTTGAGGACCTTTAAACTGAGATGATGCACACGTGTGTGCACTTGGGATGATTGTTTCTCGATTGGAATCAAGGAGTCCTGATGAAGAAGTGAAGGTGGGTTCATGAATAATGTCCGGAGTCAAACGGTAGTTGGTTCTTGGAATAAAAGGTACGGATGGAGGTTGCTTTTTTCGTTCAAGGGTAATGCTGATGGAAATCTAACCACCGGGATTGCTGATGCTTTTACGTCTTGTTTTATATGGGTTAATGATGTATGATTATTTTAGATTGCGGGGTTGGGAGGCTGGGCATTGTGGGTAATTTCACTTGAGGGATGATCATTCTTGGGAACTCAGCGGTAAGGAAGTGACAAAATTATATGAAGCCGCTAGGCTCAGAGCTTAAATTTCAATTTTCGGGGAATGGCTTTTTTGAAAGGAACTGTTCAATCGTTAATGTCTCGTGATCAAATGACGCGATTCGGATGAGGCATCGTTCAGTTTAAAGTTTGGATAAATATCTTGGTAATTTAAAAAATCCAAATTTCACTCTCCTGGTCCTGAGCTATTCACGATAAAAGATTTGTTGTTCTCTATTCGTCTGCGGGAATGGGCTTCTAATGATTAACATTTTTATGATTATGGTTATTTTAGATTGCGGGGTTGGGAAGCTGTTCAAAGAGACAGTCTATCTTTGATATCTCGTGATTAAATGAGGCCATTTGAATGAGTCAGCTTTCATTTCAAAGCTTGAGTAAATACCTTAAAAATGAAAAAAAATCTAAAAATTTCATTCGGCTGTTCTTGAATTATTGACGATAAAATCTTCATTATTCTCTTTTGTGGCAATGGGTTTCTAATCATAAACATTTTCATTCGTCGTAAAATGAAAAATAATTGGGACACGAGGATTATCCTCAAGGCACTTTCTTTGTCATGCCTATCTCGATGATTTCCCCGAGAATTTTAATGTCCACTTGAACGGCCGATTGTGACAATTTATTCATGAAGGTTTATAAGTGTTTTTTAATTGTCTCGTGATGACAATGGGTACACCCCCGAGGTGTTGAGTTTTATTGTGGTCGTGAGGCGACCATATACAGATGTTAAACGACGCAAGGATTCAGCTTATCTCCGCTTCTCTCTTTTCCTTCGTGTACATCTCGTTATAAAAAATACGGGGGGGGGGGATTATAAAACGGAGCAGGGGTATTGCACACGTAGTTCATGGGCTTCCTCGAATAAAACGAATCGAATTAACCCCTTGTGGCCTGCGGTGGATCGACGCCATTTGAATACTCCCGGGAATATTGCATTCCTCGTTCATCATGTCGGTGACGCACATTTGTATGGTTCCACTGGTAAGGAATTGTGGAAGTTGAGGAGACAAATTTCTCGGGACATTGTAAGGCGGTATATGCGCGAAAATATGTTGACAACATGATTTGAAATTTCTCAGATATTTTTAATGTTTTTTTTGGGGAAATTTATTAAAAATCGAGGTGAATTGCCAAAATTTATACTTCAATTTTTTTCTCATCACATTTTTTCATAAAAAAATGGTTTCATGTGCATAAAAAAAT